TGTAAATAATAGCATGCGATATGTCAAATAGTGCAAACAAGTTGTAAGCTGTCAAACACACACTACTATATTATGATTTTACAAAGTCAGTGTTAAAACGTCACACCAAATTATCACTGTTTCTGTCTCGTTGTGTTATTATGATTATGAAAAAGTTGGGCTACATATTATCTAATCCAGTCGTGGTGTTGCTTTATAGTAGTTGGTCGTATCGATCAGCTGATTTATGAGAAATATGTCGTTGCAAGATGTTCGATTTTCGAATTATTTTGTGGCCGGAATTGCTTCGTGGGGTGCAACGGTGTTCACAAATCCATTAGAAGTATGTGTATTATTATTTTTAGCATTCAATTCAAATGACATTGACATTTTTTTTATTGATGATTAAAATAGGTAATTAAAACACGACTTCAACTTCAGGGTGAACTAAAAAAACTCGATCCAAATGCAAGAATCTATCGTGGTGTTTTGCACGGGCTCTATCAAGTTGGTCGATATGATGGAATGACAGCATTACAAAAGGGACTGGTTCCAGCATTTGGTTTTCAATTTTGTTTGAACTCTGTGCGGTTTGTGATTGAAAATCTTTTAGGATAGTTGGCGTCGCCTAGTGATTGACACCGCATGCATTTTTTTTCTTTTTAGTTTGGGCGTCTTTGATACGGCCACAACGTTCGGTTGGACAAAAGATGCAAATGGTCATATGTCATTTTGGCGCGGTTATTTTTGGGGTGGTTTGAGTGGTTCGTTGGGGAGTTGCTTGGGGAGTCCATTCTTTTTAGTTAAAACGCAAATGCAGTCATACGCCGACGTTAAAGTTGCTGTTGGGTTTCAACGAAAACATGAAGGAATGATGGCCGCTTTCAAAAAAATCTATGCAGCTCGTGGCATTGGTGGCCTTTATCGGGGTGTTATTGGTAATATAATTTGATAAACATAGGTGTTGACGCAAAATATTTTGGAGGGTAAAAAAGAAAGGAAAATTCAGAGAGGTGCCCGGCAAAAGACGATTTTTAACTAGTGTAAAAAATGGAGAAAGTGGTTTTTGATTCTTTTCGGATGTATAACTCAAAATTGCTGGGTCAACACCTATGTATTTGATAAATATATTTGAAATTGTTTTGTCTTATGATTTCAATGGAATTAATCTTGAAATTTTTAATTTAGGTAACATTCCACGTGCAGCTTTAGGCAGCGGTGCTCAACTGGCCACATTTGAACCTCTCAAAGACTACATGGCCAGAAATAATTTAAGCTTCTCAAATCCAACCGTAAATTCATTCGTTTGTTCAACAGTCGCCGGTTCAACAATGGCCATTGCAATCACGCCGCCTGACACAATTTTAACAAGACTTTATAATCAACCCTTAGACGATGCGGGCAAAGGAAAATATTATAGTGGCGTCTATGATTGTCTCATTAAAATGATCAAAACAGAAGGTTTTGCTGGATTGTACAAAGGATTTTTACCATCATATTTACGGATTGCTCCGCATTCCACATTAGTTTTACTCTTTTACGATGAATCGAAAGCATTGCGCGACAAATTCCAACCCAATTGAATGAATTAATTTGTTTTTAAATCAATTGTAAATAGAAAAAAATAACAATTACGTTGCAGTACAAGCCGGACACACAGTCGATATGTGTGCCTGTAAAATATTCATTTTATTGTTTTTGATTATGTAAAATCATGTATATAAATGTTTTAAATTTAATTAATATAAATATAAATTAATAACGGACATTTTCGATATGAAATAAATGTATTGTGAATGGGTTTAGTCTTCAGAAGTGTTGGATGCATTCATTCTATTCGATGGCGATTTGTCTGCAATGTTGTGAACAATTGAGTCATAAAAATATGCGATGTAAGATTTCAAATCATCGTTGTTCGCGAGTATTTATTTCCATCCGCTTTTCATGCAAAGACGATATTTTTTATATCATCATACGCAATGTTTTATTCGGATGGTGAAATATTAATTATTTGAGGTAAAGCGACACGTATAAGGTGGAGAAGTACTATATATAGTATGTTGATAAACCGAAACAGAAATTATTAATGCTCAGATAGAGCGTTGTGTGAAGGTCAGTTTGATTTTTACACACGGCGAGATACATTGTAAATTGAAAATACGTCGAGACAAATTGAAAATTGTGACAGGTGCATAAAATATACCAAGAAGCAAAAAGGAAACAAGAAGCAAGATAAAGAACATGGGTCTAACAGCATCAATGATACTATCAAGTGCGTTTACGCATTTGTTTGGAAAAAAACAAATGCGAATTTTGATGGTTGGTTTGGATGCGGCCGGTAAAACGACAATCCTTTATAAATTGAAGTTGGGCGAAATTGTGACGACCATTCCAACGATTGGTTTCAACGTTGAAACGGTTGATTATAAAAATATTTGCTTCACCGTTTGGGATATTGGTGGTCAATATAAAATTCGACCATTATGGCGATACTACTTTCAAAATGCACAAGGGCTCATCTTTGTTGTAGATTCAAACGATCCCGATCGTATTGCCGAAGCGAAAAAAGAGCTTAACGGCCTGCTCAAAGAGGATGAACTACGTGATGCTGCGGTTTTGGTAATTGCAAATAAACAAGATCTACCGAATGCCATGAGCACTGCCGAACTGGTTGAAAAATTGAATCTAAATCAATTGTGGAAGCGAAATTGGCATGTCCAAGCCACATGTGCAACACAGGGTAACGGTTTGTACGAAGGACTCGATTGGCTATCAAATGAATTGGCCAAAATGTGACGTGGACTTGTATTTACTTGGAAGTGTTTGGAATGTTTTCTTTACAACCTTACAAAACTTTATATTGTACAATTATTATAATAAAATAATGAGAAAGCATTGAGAAAAAAACGATGTTGTTTTGACTTTTTCACATTTCGATTTTTTATTCAGTTTTTTTGTTGTGAAATTTACTGCCTGATGTAGTATTTTTCAATTTATACAAATCATTTAAAATGTTGCATCGAAATCTGATGAATTTTAAAAATTTCTAAGTAGGATGCGATTCAATCAAAAAGCTTTCTGAATTCAGAGAGACAACGTTCAAATTTGATACAAAATCATGATTTGGCAAGCAATTTAAGGTTCTATACTGATCTGGAAAAACAACACACAAAACGGTAACTAACAACAACAATTGGAATCATCTGAAAGACAGATTTGGTTTGGCTTCAATTGAACTGACCTATGTAAACAAATAAATTCTTTAAATTTATAACTCATTCAAAAGACTCACTTTGTACCGCCAATCTACCAAATAAATTGATCAAAGAAAATTGAAAAGAATGTCGTCATTTGTGTTATTTATCAAAAGCTTAACTGATGTAAACAATCGTTGGCCACTTGTGAGTTGTCAAAAAAAAAAAAACAATCCGGTCCCATACACCGTGTAAATAAATGCTTGCAAAATGTCAACAATACCATTCTATACCGACACGTATCTACTGTAAAAGTTACAGTAATCATAAAGCTATGATCTGTGATTCTCAACTTTCTCAACTTTCAATATTTTTAATTCAAGTAAAATAAATAAAAATCAAAGGCCGAAAAACGGAGACTTTAAATATAAAATAAATGAAATTCATGTAGTGCTCTGTCAGTCAGAATGGTGTTGGATGCGTTCATTTGATTCGATGATAGTTTTTTAACACCATAACAAAAATGTAGTCATGCGATGTTGGATCATCATTATCAGCGAGTTTACTTATAAAATAACGTCACACGCAATATTACGTTAAAATTGTGACATCAATGGTTTTAGAAGTGCTGAAGACAAAAAAGACAAGAATATAGAGAGCGGGAGAGAAATATCTACAGACCGAAACAAACTCAGTCGAGTACTCAGTGAACTTAGTGTGAGTCAGTTTGTTTTCCGCGTTTGGTGAAATACAATAATTGTTAACGAAATAAAAAAATACTTGAAACCAAAAAAAAAAAAATTGTTTCCGAGGCCGTTAAGTTTACCAATAGCCAAAAAGTGAAAAAAAGAAAGAAAACGAAATGAGTGCATCGATATCAAGTTTATGGTCGCGTTTGTTTGGAAAACAATCAGTTGGAATAACGATGGTTGGATTGGATGCAGGCGGCAAAACGACAATTCTTTATCAATTGAAGTTGGGCAAAGTTGTAACGACCATACCAACGATCGGTTTCAACGTTGAAACAATTGAATACAATAATATTTCATTTACCGTTTGGGGTCTTCACAGTGGAGATAAACTTGCAAACAAACAAGATCGGCCGAATGCAATGAGCGCCGATGAATTGAGTGATAAATTGAATTTAAAAGAGATACAAAATCATAAGTGGCACATACAAGCCACCTCTGCAATACAGGGTAAAGGTTTGTACGAAGGACTCGACTGGTTATCAAATGAACTGGCCAACAAGGGATTTACACGAGAATAACAAATATTTATGTATTTAATTCGATTATAATAAAATAATGGAGAAAATATACGGTTTTGTTTCGATTTTTTTTTCTTCATAGTTTAACATTATGAATTTAAAAACAGAGTTGTGATTGACACGGAAGCATCAGTGACTCACTTGGGCAGCTAGTGCCTGCACATAATTTATCAAGAGCCTGAATATGAGAGAGAGAGAAGCACTTAAAAGAAACCAAAAGCCCGCAATCGGTTTTATATAAGTTGCCATTTAATGTAAACTTATTTGGGCTCATTTAAAAAAGCAGCATGTGAAGCAAGAATTCGTGATGTAAACAAACAATATGTATAAATTCAGAAACTTTTATATGAATCAAAAGATTATTCCTTGCACAACTCTACCCTAAAGTTGATCAGTAAAACTGATAAAATTCCAATATTTTAAATTTAATCAAAATAAATAAAAATTAAGCGGAAACTTTGAATATGAAATACACAAAAAAACATTCATTGGATGCGTTTCGTTCGCTGTCAATCATTGGCATTGGATGCATTCATTTGATTCAATGACAGTTTTTTTTTGCAAGGCATGTTTTCAACATCATAATAACAGTCCAGTCATCAATATACGCAATTTACTTTGCATTTGTTGCATTTAAAATCCTCATTGTTCACGAATACCTATTTATTTGAATTTTACACGCAACGACGACATTATTTTCGTCACATTTTCAATTTGTCCAACGAAAAAAAAAGTGTTTTTGGCAAAAATAGAAAATTGTGTCATACACAATGTCGCGTTCAGATTGTGATAGTGATGGTTTTGAAAGTGCTGAAGATGATGATTTTGGTGTAGAAAAACCGTCAGCCAAATCTGATGGTGATAAAAAAACGGCCACAAAACTATCATCAAAGAGTGCAAAAATGGCAACAAATGAAGCTGCCACCAAAGATGTTGAAACAATTGATAAATTCAAAGCATTGGACGTGAAAGAACCCGAAGAAAATGACGATTGGGGTTGGGGCGATGATGGCGATGACGATGATGCGAATAATTTTAAATTTGAATCAAAACCAACGACGAATGAAAATCCAAAAGTCGAAGCTCGACGCCCGGATAATTTGGGTGACAGTCCGCAAAATGTAAAACAAGAACCACCATCGCAAGTATTTCAAAGTCAACCAGAAACACCATCTGCATGGAGTCCATGGTCAGGAATGGTATCGTTATTATCAACAGCATCAACGGGTGTTGCATCGTTTACTTCGCATGTTTCGTCTGTGATTGAATCAAATATTGGTATACCGGATCCGGAAAAATTTGCCCAACAACAGCAGCAACAAGAGAAAACGGAACCAAACACCACCAATGCCAGTTCACCATCGCCCGATTGTGAATCCATCGATAGTAAACGACAAAATGATGAAAAACTACTGAATTTGGGCAGTTTTGTATCGAATGTCACATCGATAAGTAATCGTGTTATTGCTGGTGGCCTGGATACGCTCGAGGGTATTGGCAAAAAAACGATGACAATCATTCAAGAGAATGACGCTGGCCTAATAAGCAAACGCAAACTACTTGGGTTGGACAATGAAAAGCCTGTATTGAGTCAAGTGTTACGCGAAGCAAAGGAGAAATCTGAAGAGAGTGAAAAAACCATGAAATTAACGCAGAAAAAACTCTATCGAAAGCAATTACATTTTGAAACATTATTCGATGATTACCATGGTCTTGTCCATTTGGAAGCATTGGAAATGCTATCGAAACAAGCATCATTGAAATTACAAGCATTGCTTATGCCACTGAGTGGTATTGCATTGAACGAATTACAACAGACCATGAATTCGGTCACCGAATTATGTGAATTGAATGAATTGGATCAGGATGATACGCCCACACATCTATATGATGTGACCGAATTGGAGGAAAAACTCAAAACAGCCACCGAAGATTTTGACATACCACTCGATTTTAATGATATTTTGGAGTGAGTCATTGGATCACATTGACTAGAGCTGTTATTACAGCTCTATCTTTAACTCCGCACGAAAATTCTATTTTAAACATGATTTTAATTGACATTAACCGTTTTCTGCTTCAATTTCAGCACGTGGAAAGAGAGCCACAATTGGTTGGAAAATAACACGGACGAACATCAGCCGCAACAGATTCATGATAATGCATTGAAATGTTTGGCAAAAACATCGGCATTGGCTATCAATAAATACCATAAATTAGCTGAATTACTTTTAATTAAAGATCATCACAGTACGGTTAATGAGTCCGATTGTCTACTACAGTACGTAAACATGTTGACGAATTTTTTTCTTTTGCGGTCGTTCTTCTGATTCTAAATTTCTTCTTCTATCATCCTTAGATTGACAAATACATTCTGCTGGCATTTGGGTGGCATTGCAACCTTGTACAGCGACAAATTAACCAACATTACCACTAGCGATCCGGAAATCCAAACAAATAACCTGATTACAAACATTTTCTTGGAGGTACACTTTATCAATATTTTTCTGGTGTTGACATTTGAAATGGCTAATCTGTTTCATTGTTTATGTTTCAGGGCTCGAAGAGCACATCATACGTTCAAAATGGTTTTCAATTGTTTATTCCAATTCTTCAAGTCGGTGCTGTTTAAATTCGATTCACCCCACCAATTTATATATACCACCAATGTATTTTTGGGCCGAATATCCAAGTCACTTCTTTTAAATGGCACTGTCATATCCCATGTATTGTTACTTCAATTTTGGTTGAATTTTAAACGTCTATAAATATGTAAAAAAAAAAAACAACAAAATCGGTCGAAATTTTAGTTCTTTTTATAAATTAAATAAAAATCCCCATTTTTCAAATAAATCACAACGATATTTTTTTGAAACTTTATTCCATCGTAAAATTTTGAAATACATAAAATAATTATTACAATTGTGTGTTATTCAACTAAAAAAACTATGTTACAACATTGAGCTGATTTACAAAGGCCATGGAATTTGCATGCGAAATATGTGTTTGTTTTTATTGATTACGAACGGAAATCGGCTCTTGATCCAAATTAGAATTAATCGTCGAATTGGCGAATTGTGTGTTAATTTATCGACAATGACATTGAGAATAATTTGACGACGAGACGGAAAGAGAAGCAGGGAGATGGTAAACGGCATCGTACGCTCTCAAATACACGCACCGGAATGGAGATAATTTAGATCTGAAATAAAAATGTATATTCTGTTGAAAAATATGGCAACCGATTTTAATTTTCTCTTATTCATTATTCTCTGTTTGTTTTTTAATAAATGAGAAGATCATGATCATGATGAAGAAGTGCACTGATTCAGGTATAAACAAATACAGACATAATAATCAAATGTGAACGTTTATAATAAAGATAACAATTTTCTCGGTGAAATTACTTACTTTTGTTCATTCTAAACCGTGCGCATAGTAGTGCTTCAAAAGAAATATATGAATGGCCATCGGTTCCACACACTGTACGTCGAACAATAATGGGCAATGTAGCAAAAATGAAAAGAGTGTAAGTGAAATGCGAGTATTTGTAAAATAAATTGATAGACGCAAGAAAAAAATTGTAGTTGGCTACAAACCTGGTGATGCGACTGCGATATATTTCAGTTTCTCGGGGCAAATGTTTCCAAAGTCATTACAACGACCGAAGTGAGTTAAGAACAGAACTGATATTGATTCGAAACAAATGTATAAAGAAAAGAACGCAATCAAAAGAAGAAGAAAAAACAGCAACAACACAACACAAAAGAGGCAAATTATTTGAAAATACTGAAGAGTGCACAGATGAAAAGAATCAACTTACATCGATTGTATGGTTTGGAGCATTCGAGATGATGTTCAGAGCGATAAGTGCGTAAATCACTGCCGCAAGCAAGAAACTTGGTTCGTTCAGTTATCGATGCGATTTTTAGTGATTCTTGTATTTTTCGAACTTTTTCACAACTTCGTTGAGTTTGACTTCCGCAAGTGCCGCCGACTTTTTCGCGTACATGTTGCACATTGCCAGCCATACAAATGGCCATGAATGGATTTTCATACGTTTGATTATTTGTCGTGCAAATTGGATTCTTTTCGAATAATCGACGCGGTGATGTGCATGCTTTTACATGTGCATTCCGTCCAAGCGCTCGATAGGTTTCGTGCAATGTACAACTGCCTTCATGTATAACTCGAATATCTACATTCAGTTTAAACAAAGAGATAGAAATTGAGAAGGAGATATTAGAATGATCTTACTTGCGAATGAGAGTAATATTCACCTGGTTGTAAATCGCGCAAGCATCGCACCTGATGAAGATGACCATAGGTGTAGCCATTGTTCGCACAAACCGGCGCCTTGTAATGATCCGGCCATGGTCCTTGTAAATCGCTATAACTTGGACATATAAGCGGATCACATTCGCGATGATAAATTATTCGAACATCTGCAAAAACAAACAACAAATAGACAACATGTGAACTTTATTAATTTACACGCTCAATCGCACTATTTATTAGCGCTGCCGATGCAACTTCATTCAATGCAATTTATCGCCATTTCTCTCTTTCTTTCCTTCTACTTTTCTCTCGTTTTCATTTCAGTTTTCAAGCGAATATTTTTCTTCTTTTTTCTAAATCTAGATCAGTCGGAAGCTAAGAACTAGGGGTGAAGAACATATTCAAAAGCTGTATTCCTTTCTCTATAAATTACAATTACCATGCCTCACGGACTCATTTGTCGAATTGGCTCATGGTTTGGATGCTCTCTTTTTACGCCTTTTTCTTGACATATTTTATAGTTCAGAGGCGGATGATTTCATGGTGTGATCGAAAATTACGCAAAAACATCAAAGAATTAAATTGAATGCATAGAAAAATGATCGGGATGCGGTCACACTGTGAGAACATAACTTTAGACCTTGACACGATGAGCAACACTCGATTAAATCACCCTAAAGCCATTTTTATTCATCTTGATCGCACACTGCAAAATATCGCGATTGTCGATAATTCATACGGTGCAAACAACTCTATTCTCTCTTAATTGTTAATCATGCATGGCGAAAAATACACACACACACACCACATTGCAGATGCAAATCGGCAAACTTCTTAAAAGCATCACCAGGTCACACATCCATTAGAACAAATCAATCGATAATTTTAAGTGAGAACGATTAAAATTAAACGTATAATTACATTAATCAATCAGGTTTTTTTTGTTGCTTTACATCAAAAAGGTGTCGATTTTACGATCATTTTAACATTTAAAATGGCTTGATGCGATCACTTCTTAAATAATATGTAAAAAAAATTGAATTATTATCTACTTAAATTGATCGCGTTGCATTTAGGGGCCCGGCCTTTGTTCGTGCATAGTTTTAGAGATCGCGCGAAGGATTATGAAATGAACATCGATCAAAAGTGGCACTTTTCATCACAATATCAAAAGATGTAATTTTGATTCTTTCTTGCGTCTCAAACGTTTTTCCGAATCTAAATATTCATTACTATCAAGGGGGCTATAATTGGATATCGATGAAAATAAAAGATTTTCAACGGATTACGAAACATAATGATCAAACTGATCGATTTTTTAGTTTTCGAATCAATTCCAATTAAGAATCAAAGGGGAAAAAATTGATGTCATAATCAAAAATTTCGATGATTTCAATAATATTCCCATTCCATTTGAAATTATTTTGTCGAAAAATAATTAAAAAAAAAATTTCAGCATTTTCTGATTTTTTGCGCCTTTTCGGAAGACGGTGAATATTTTAGCAATGACATTGATTTTTAAACGTTTTTTTTTACCAAATTTGATGTTTGAACATTTTTTGAATTTTCTCCAAATTCAAAATCATCGATTTTCGTATGTTCAAAGCGAACAATCCCCTGAGATACCAATTCATTCCGTTGCGAATGTTCAACTCTTGTGAATCGTTATTTTTTTTTTAAATTCCATTTAGAAATTATAAACCAAAATAAATGGCCAATTAATTTGAATACAAACAGATGTATACCGACACGCCGATCTTATGACGCAAAATCTGACATCGATCGAAAAGATGCACTTTGTTTATATAAAAAATCGAAAATCGTAAATGCAACCTAGTGCTTTATTATCATGTTACGGCTTAAAATGCAGGAAATACATTAAAAATACTTTGAAGATATGAGGGAAAAAGCTCTCAATGCAAATAATTTACTAAATTAATGCTAATCCAAAAGTGCTACTGAGACACCGCATTTAAAATATATTCTGAATGATCTGTTGAATAGTAATAAATTTTGCCAAAGAATTTGATAAAGTGCAGCGATTAAAATGATGATGAGATGACGACAGAGAGATGAGAGTGAGAAAAATAGGGAAAGAGTGAGAGAAATCGTGATGTTCAAATCAGAGTATTTATCCAACCTAAATTTTGCGTAAAAGTCTCCAATACAAAAACGTTCGGGTGCATGTACTTATGGCAAAAAAATGTGTGGCAAAAGATAAAGAGCAGAGATGCAAGTAAGTTGGTTGGTGAGTTTGATATTGGTTTGGTCGGTGCAATCAAACGTTATATGTACGAATAAATGACTTCATATCGTCTGTTAATGAATAGATTTATTGTAATGATGCAATTATATCAGATTAGTTGGTATTTAATCTAATCTCTGTTTGGCAAACGCATAGTAAAATAGGCGAACACATTTTCAACCGAGAGAATTTTGCGCTGCTAACAAGCGATGTGATTGATGAAAAAAATAATAATAAAGAAACCGGGGAGCGTCATGTTTGGTTCATAGAAAAATAGCCCCAAAAGACAAGATAGAGGTAGAGAGAAGTCTTAGATACCATGCGCCTACTTATTTATTATTATTATCATCATCATGATGCATCATTGAATAGAACCGAATATACTTACGTCGAATTCGTGGCCGTTGACGATTGAAGCAATCCAAGATATCTTTGTTTCCATATGTTTTCATGTCGCTGCCGCAAACTGGATGATAGTATGGATTAAGAACACATTTGTGGCCCTTGGCAATCACACTCAGCAAACCTACAAAAATATACACAAGACATATGCATACACATATGAATGGGGTAGAATAAAAACTACTTCTCGAAAAATTGGTATTTTAAAACGAAACTTAAAAAAAATTTCATTAAAAAGTGAATCAATTTTTTTTTGTCCAATTGAAGTGAATCAAGAAAATTTTGTTCAATAAAAGTGAACCAAAAAAAAAATTTCAGTCGGTTTTTTCAGTGTAAAATACACTAAAATGAATTTTTTTTTTAGGTTCACTTTTATTGAACAAATTTTCTTTGGTTCACTTCAATTGGACAAAAAAAAAATTGATTCGCTTTTCATTGAAAGTTTTTTTTAGGTTTCGTGTTTAAACATTTTTCGAGAAGTAGTTTTTATTCTACCCCATTCATATATATGTATATCAATCACAGACAATACGGTAAAGTTAACAAGATGATTGGCCGCGTTCACATTATAATGTCAGTTTGGCGGAGCGAAAAAAACAACGAAGGTTTTGGATTTCAATCTATCGCACGCGCGCACAACAGCCTGGTCCATTCGCGATTTTCTATCTCTCTCTCTTCTTCTTATTTTTCTGTTACGTCTCAATTTTCTTAATCTTTTGGCGTGGAATTCCATTTGGATTAGCACACACAAAATGCACAACACATCTCGTCGTTTCGGAAAATTAGTATTAATAAATTCGCGATCACAAAAAAAATGTTACATGTTAATAAGCCATGCATTTTTCTGTGATATGTTTCTCTATTTTCTGTGTGTGTCGCCGTTTATTTATTTTCTGTGTGTGTGTGTGTGCGCACCTTACCGCCGCACAATATTAAATCATCGTTTGATGATTAATATAATAACTGAAACGATACACAAATCACCAATATACGTGTTACTCTGGATAGAAAAAAAAGAGACCAAATCACAGCAATCGATTAAATTATCGGTGAACGGTAGGAACAAGTGCCACCGCAATATTATTTCACATACACTATTTATCTAATTTTTTTTCTTCTGTTCATCGCAAACTGGCTGGCTGGTGCACGCGCGCGCGTACCACAAACAGTGGAGATCAATCGGTCCCGATTGGATATGAGACAAAATAGTCTATGTTGTTGATAAATTTTTTTCTTCTTTCATTTTTATTCATGCAAAATTAATCAGCAAGAATACACAAATTTCAACTTACATAACAGAATAATTACAGAAAATGATTGATATTTCTCGACAAGCATTCTTTCTTGATCTTGTAACTGACTAATCGTCGTTTGTCGTCGATGTGATTGCAAATGCAATTTGAATTTTTGTCGTCTGCGTTAAAACTATCTCACTTGCACACTTTGTGTCTGTTTATGTTTGTTTTTTTTTTTAATTCCTCTATTTTCAAAATGATTTGTTACTTCTTTTTTTTCGTTGAATAAGCGTGCGCGCGAGCGCCCGCGATCACTTTGATCAATTCGGTTAAATCTGATACGAAAATGAATATCACTCATAAGATTGAACTCCAACAGATAAATAAAATACACACGAAAAAAAAGTGTGGCATAAAACCAAGAATTTTGATATTACCGATTAAAACAGACACAAAACACTTTTCAAACGAGAAAAAAAAAACTAAATGCACACACGAATAAATCAAAACGAATCGAACGAGATCAAGTGATCGGTGATCATATTTACACACACTTAATTGGCGGAACAAATGAAGCGATCAAACGCCAATAATAAAATTGATGAAAATGTGCTTTGACGAGCGATGAAAAAAAATATATATATATATCGATCTCAACCACTATTCAATTACATTAAATTCCATCCAAACTTGTCGAAACACACATGAAATGCGCGGTATATTGCTCTCGAAAATATATCGTTTCAAATGGGTTTGATTTTTTTTTAAACCTATCACTCTAACGGTTCGCAGCCAACTGACTCAAGATAATTGAAAATTTTCGCTTTAAAAAAAATCGCTCTCTCGCTGATTCTCCGGACGTGCGCGCGCGAATCAAATAGAATGGCAGCAGACAAACATACACACACGGGGTATTCGAAGATCATATCATAATTTTATTTAAAACATTGCAAGTGCACAATGTAAGACATATACAATATCAACCGCATCGGGTTGATTGCATTTCGCGGGGCCCCTGTCCTCTCTATCTGTCTCTCTCTCTTGACAAACACACAATAGATGTGCACACACCGAATGATATCAATATTGGTCGATTTGCAAACGTTCCCAATTGTAGCATGGTCAGTCCACCACAAGTTTGTGTATGTGTCCACAATCAACTGAAGACTAAGAAAACCCACAACGAGGATAGAATAAAATAATATATAAAACTCTGTCAGTGACGTTGTTTGGCCGAAAGCTGAAATAACTGTTTAATTTACGGTTGTGTATAGAATGGCCACAACATTTCAGCTGTCCAGCTGTCTTTCTCACATTTGATCTCACTCTCTCTCTCTCATTCTCACACTCCATACGTACACCCTTTGAACCCAATTGGAGAGTATCAACACGGGCACACGGTCTGATTTTTGTTTACTAACAATCACAACACAATATGACCACAACGATCAAAAATGCATGTCACACATTAAATTGAATGCAATTTGTCAAAATGGGCGAGCGCGGCCCGCGGGTGATGATTTGATGTTGTGACAATCATTTTGAATTATGAGCTCGGCATATTTGTTCTTTCTTTATCTATCCCATCAATCGAATCGAATTTTCTGTGGTGTCCGCTGTGTGCATTGTGTTATTAGTATTGTTTCATTTAACATGCATTCACACGCAATCATATTGTCTTATGCAATAGATGTGATACATATATATATATATATATATATATACCATTATATAGAGGCGCGATTGACGCGCATTACTTTCATGCGAACCGAACCGAATCATTGGAACATTGACTGTGAGCGGATTAATTAGCAAATTAACGACCTTTATAGGAGTGCACTTGATAATAAAGTCAATTCAGTGACGCTTTTGTTCAATGATACACCGCATTCATTGATGAGCCAAGTATGCGGGAGGCATTGAAAAGTAGGGGGTCATTTTTTATCAGCCACATCTTCGGGAAGCAATCAAATATCTTTGGATAAAAGACATCAAAAACAGAAACAATGTTAATAGACCCGAGATCGAGCTGGTGAAATCGTTTTGAATTCTAACTTATTCTCATGGTTTGTTTATGGTATAAATTATAGTCTCATCTAGATGCAAAAAAATAAGTAGAAAAAAAATCGAGGATTTGAAAAAAATCAGTCACATCTGCATCTAGAATGTAAGTTAGACATTCTGGCAGTGGAAATTGCTCTTTTGTCATGTACTTTTTAATTGAAATATAAAGTCCCAAGTTTTGACTGACCAACCAGTGTTTACAATGATGGTTCGGCCACTGTTTCAGAACCAGCTGAGTTGATTTGTTTGTGAAAAATTAAAATAAACTTGCATCTATTTAGATTTCAATCGTTTTTTTTTTTTTTCAATTTGAATTCTTATGAAAAAAGTACAAGTCTCTTTAAATCTTAAATTTTTTTTCCAAAATGATCTAAATCGATCTAAATCCGAATAACGAAATATACTTCTTTACCTGTAGAAAACAAAATGCGCCAACATAGAAACGACTCCGTTATTGGGATATTTTATCTAAATACAATTTGAATGACCATTATATTCAGTTCCCGTCAATGATAGAAACATTGATTGAATCATTCGATTTTTATCAATACACATTACACAATCATACACTTTTCGGTGTGTTCTTATTCATATCTCAACTTCATTTATTTAATATCTTTCATTTAAATTTTAATAAGTAATGTACAATGTTATTTGTTTTTATTTCTTTTTATTTGTTGTTGTTGTTGTTTTAGTTTATTATTTCATGTTTTTTTGTTTCCACTTGATTTGTCCTCAACTCTATGATGATGATGAACAATGGAATGATAGATTTTTTTTTTATTTCTCATTTAAAAATAAGATGACAACTAAATTTACATTGAATTTTTATTGCATATAAACCTATTTATAACAATTCTATGAATTTTTGCTCATTTGCAAATTAGGCTGTCGATTACACAGCATGAAAGTGCATGGGAAAAAAAGGAAGGAATTTTGTTTTTAAAAAAAATAAAATCGAATGAATGTTGCACGATGCCCTCAATTAAAATGTAGTGAATTTGTTTGAATCTTTATGGGACTCATCATGATGCATTACTGATGGCCAGTAATAAAAAACAATCACATCAACAGTTTTGCAGCAACGATGGTAGCAATCGCGAACCGAAATATAAAATCTTTAATTTCATGACAACCTCAACTAATTTAGTTAAATGCCACATTTTTACATGAAAATTAAAAAAAAACTAAATGGGAATTTTTCGAAGGAGTTTGACGCTACTTTGAAGTGTGTATGTATTTTTTTAAACTAAACTCACTAAATGTTGTGCAAGAAGAGAGAAATCTAAAAAGTTTGGTTTCGTAAAGAACCAAATCGCCAGCGGAACATCTATTTCGTGATTGAATTTAATGTACTGTGCCGATTCAGCCTCTTTTGTGAAAAAAAAAAATAAACATCAATTTAAGTCTAATGTTTGTTGTCGGTGTTTTTTTTTTTTTTTTTTTTTTTGAAAGCAATTTGTCATTGTCGATAGATAGATATTTCATGGACAAAATGTCCATTGTACAGGCCAAAGTGACGATATTCCGATCATAAAATCAATTGCACAGAAAATTGCTTGAAATTAAAAACAAAGAAGAGAATTTTAAAAGCATCAAATTGTAGTCATGTTGAATTTTGAACATTTTAATACTAAAATATTGAGCGTTCAACACGATATGAAGGTTAAAAGCAAACTGCGTGGAACTTTCTGCCTCCGAAATTATAATTCTAAATTTTCAAATGCAAAGAACAGTCGATTTGAGCATACCGAGGTGTCCAATGAAAAAATGGTCCCGTAACTTGTTTTTTTTTTTTTTTTTCAAAGTTCTTGAGGTCCGACCGGACTCCAACATATGATACGATGCTGGAAAAAATACTATTAAAATTTGGACCTTCTAATCAAACCACCCGAAAATGAAAGTCAATTTAATCTCTTGGAACTAATCATTTTTTGTTCAATATTTTAATGGAACTAAAAGTGGTCTGAGTTTAATTTTAATTCATTCCGGTGAATATTTCGAAACCAAAAGAAAATGGACTGTGCTCCGGTTTCGATGATTCAAAATATAGTCACTTCATGTCAAAAAATATGCTGATTTTTTAAGCCTCACACATTTTATATTAAAAACATTTTGTTTTTGGAAATTCCGATTTAACAACTGAAGCAATTTGTCGCACTTAACGTTTCGTTCGTCCCAAAATCTTCATTTTCCTGTACATGTGTTTCATTCTCTATCTTTATCGAAATGTCGTGATTATTTTTCAATCACAGCGCGCGCATATCATCTAAAAGTCGGTTTCATAAAGACAAACAATCAGGCTGTCTCTTACGTAGTACATCTTTACATATTTTATCGTATTTATATGTATAATCATATATAATATTTATATTTATATATATTTTTTCTTATTTCGATTCAAAGATCGCGTAACCATTAATAAGTATATTCCTTTTTCTTTGTTATTTTAATCCCCTCTCTCTTACATTCTTCTGTCTATTTCTATCATAAAGCATGCTGATTTAGAATTGCACCCAATTGGCGTTCGCTTTTGGAGATGCTTGGGATTGGGGTGTTGACTGGCTGCTAAAAAATGACAAAAATAAAAGCAAGTAAGTAAATAAATTTTGTTGAAATATTTCACATCGCGAAAAAAACTACAATAAATTGATTATTCTCAAGAGATTATATGGGGAATTCTCAATGGAGTAGATACACACCTGTTGTTCGATGATGGTTCCGTTGGATTCGATGGCGGTGGTGCCAATTTAATACCACCGGGTGGTGGGGGAAAGGCACCCGTTGCGCCTGTACGTGTTCGTCGTGATGATTCACTTCCATCTTTTTTCTGTGAATACAAAAACAACAATGACAATGTCAATATATCCATTTCGTTCATGTTCATCATTGTGTAACACAACACATCTAAATGTTATCAGTCATTATATGACAACAACAAAATATAAACTATCCGATAAAACAATCAAGCATATTTGAATGTTTTGAGTTGCTTGGAGATTTTTGACGAATTCGTAGTCTTTGCGCAGTACACAGTTTTACAAGCACTTTAATTTCTAACTCACTCTCATTTTTTTAACAATTTGAAATTTCAAACAATTTTTTCAAAATATAATTGTGTGTTGTTTACGCATTATTCGGTTCTGTCTATCTCACAATTAAAAGTCACATACTAACAACAACAAACGGCGTGACATAAATATAAACACAGTTATTGTAATACTGCGCTTAAAGCATTAACATTTCAAATGTGAAAAACTAAAATACATTCGACTTAAATGTTTCGAAACCTGGCTATATTTTTATCGGATCTATAGTGTACGCCCATATTTTCTTTTTTTTGTCAAAATATCGTACGTTCATGCAAATGTTTTTGACTCACGGTGATTTTCATGTTAATTTTGATGGTTTCGCCTTCTTTGAATCCTAAATCCAGTTCTTGTCGTGGTGTCACTTTTTCCTGATCGATTTTTTCTTGGTTTTTCACCCATTTAAAGTGATCCTGTAGTGCAACGTTCAAGTCAAATGAATCGGATCGATCGCCGAAACCAAGGCCCAAAAATGCCGTTCGACCTTAAAAATATATGGTGGAAAACGTTGCAAGAACAAAGAAAAAAAATCAAAAATGTTGCATTGTCATTATAATAGCTGTTGTTTAGCCACAAAATGTCAATAATTTGTCTCATATAGGCTTCGCAAATTGAAAACAATGGAAACGTGTATTCGACAATAATTGACCTTCGTACTGATAAGAGATATGCATATTACTGTACCAGTATACATGAATTGCATTTGTTGCAAGATGTTTGAATGTGAAAGCAACTTACCATTGTCATCGACGACACGAATCACAAAATACCTGGAACTGTCACTCACTGCCTCAATTGCAACACCTAAAAATAATAACAACAACAACAACAAAAAATTGGACATGAACAAATGAAACCGATATTTAGAGAATGAATTACTATTTTGAAGGTCACATATCATATAATAAACACATAACGCACACACAAGCGCATTTAATAGACACGGTACTGTCGTTTATCTTTGCATTGCATCAATTCTTCATCTGAATGTATTGATTTAAAGGAAATTGAGAGTGTTTAATTAATTCTTTTCTTTACCTGGATATGTTTCCACTGGACAATTTGCGTATAATGTGCCCGTATTTTTGTCTTCTAATTTCAGATTGACATTAATACCCTTCGCCACTAATTTCATGCGACCCGTCCATAGTGGTTCACTTAAATTCCAATTGGCAGCCCTTTTGGATGAAGAAAAAAAAAACAATAAGAAAAACTCACAAATGTTTCTGCATTACAACACAGATAAAGACTATGTGTATGGTTTTTTTTTCTTCTCGGATGGTTTTGATTTTGGATTTGACAATTCGATAAAATGATAGATCGAATGTGTAAACTGTAAATTCATAAGATTGGTTTTTCACTGTACCTATGCTTTCTATTGGATCCAGCTGGCGGAATTTTAAAAACAAACACTTCTTGCTTAATCAACAAAATGCTTTCGTGGTCTTCCATGTTTTATTTCGTTGTTTGAATTGGCTTTTCGGAATGGGTGGGTTTTCTTTATTGCTATCCACTCTCTGTTTGATTCGAATGCTGAAAGTCACGATATTGAAATTGTTGTTGGCCAAATATATGATGAATTCCTTGTCTTCTAGTTATATTACTCTCTCTCAAGCACACACACACTCTTTGGGTGTATGTCTTTCTCTCTCACAGCAAACAGTTTTTTTTTTGTTCTTCTTTATTGTTGGACACAAGCAAACGCTCACGAATTTTGACAACACATACACACACTTTACTCTTTCAATGCCTAACTACTAGGCGAAAAAAAGTGTTTTTCCCACTTGACAGTTTGTATCGTTCGTCAAAAACGTCTTGTACGCATATTAAATACGTGTATGATTTGTTGCCATATTCGATTTTCAGTGAATGCACATATGAGCTTAACATATATAACCGACAACAGATGGCACCACTCTCTCTCTCTCATTCTATTTCGCTGTCTTCGTCGTACAACCATCTGAAATAGAACCGCATCGAAATGTTTTCAATTCACAAATGATTAATAATAAAATTTCCTTTATTTTTTAGTTTGTTCCTAATTATACATGTGCATTTTATTTAATGTGTTCCATTGTTTTTGTTTTTTTTCGCAATTTTTTTTTATTTCTTTATCATTAAATTAATATTAAATGGGTTTTGTTTTCATTTATTTTATGTTAGTTTTTTTTTAATTTAAATATTCCACTCCGCACGTTCCTGCCTATATGCGAACCTTTTTGAATTCATTTGTTGATCGTTTCTAATTGAGTTTTGTTTTTAATAATTCGATATTACATACACTTATATGCATAATTTTTTAAGGTATAAATTATATTATTTTAAGTTATTAGGTAATTTTTTGTTGTTGTTTTTGTTGTTCCTTAAATATATACGTTTGCTATTACAATAATAAGAAGGATAATGGGTTTGATTGTTTGAATCGTTTTTTTTCTCTCGTTTTTTTTTTTGGCCAAAAGAAAATCTTGATAAAATGTGAACATTGGGAGTATAAATTCTATGATTTTCTTTTGTCGTCATTTTTTATTTTAAAAAAATTATTCCGTGAATTGGTAAGAAATAAAAGAATAAAAACGGAAGATTTTTCAAACTCACAAAAATGATTGGAATTTGATTTAAAACAAAGAATTGTATAAAATACTTTGATGAGATTCGAATTTTGTTACTTTTCCGTGCAAAAATTGCGTGTTTGGAAATGTGATTTTTTGTGTTTTAATTTTTCCAATTATTGAACGTGGTCAAATATAAACAATCAAATGTGAAGCAAAAACAATTAAAATCATACATACGGAAAGAAAAGCGTGCAATTTTTTTTTCTAATTCTCGCATTTCATTTTTAGTTGATAACAATTTTAACACGTAAATTGAAAAAAATAAATAAAAAAATAAAAAATAATTAAATAAATGTACAACTTGTGCAATCGTATAAACAAAGTTTAAAATGATAAACAGCTCATAGAATTTATGTATATATATAATATAGATAGATATAGTAGGTGCTCAAAACAGAGTAAACAATTATTGAAGGAATACACGTTTAACGCTTGTGTACAGCATTAACTAGATTTATGTTATTTCACATTTTCAGCAAAAATTAAATTCGAAAACGAAAAAAAAAACGAAATCGAAAAACATTGTGTCTCCGGTGTATATTCAACCTGAATTGTTTGAATTTTTAGTCTGTTGTCATCACTTTAAAAACCTATTTATGTTTTCATGTTTCATTTTTATGATTTTTTCTTAACAAATTGGACAATTTTGAAAATTGGCTTAATTGGATTCAATTGCTTTTTCGCCAAAACATTATTGTTTTGATTGGAGACTGCATCGGTATCACGAATTAGCCGAATTTCTTTTTATATTTTTTGGATTTGGAAAAGTAATGGTTTTTTCTTCTTATAAAGCCAACAAGACTAAATCAACACACATTTTAAAGAAATGACGCGGAATTCGGTTGATATGTGCTTTAAGACAATTGTTTTTTTTTTCACACAAAACATCTATGATATTATTATTCGGCTGGCCCGATTTTATTCAAACAGCTGTCATTCTCTATATCATTTTTCATCACGATATTGATTTTTTGTTTTTGAACATTGTTTTTTTTAGTACATTTTGGAATTTTCAGTGGTAAACGACTTGATATGGACTTACTTTTGTATAGACTCATTTAAAAAAAAGGGTTGTATTGGATATTATTTAACGGAAGCTGCCATTTATCTACATTTAAATTTTGCTTCAAATATCAATTGTCAACGGTTTTTATTTTCGAAATCAGTCAGTTTTGAAAGACTTTTTCACAGTGTGAACAATTTTTTTTTCTATGTTTGGAAGTCTTTTTTCGACGTATTTGCATACTTCTATGGGCAATCTTTTCTCCTTCGAAAATTCTCATCTTGGACTCAGATTTGATATCTAACAATTCGTTTGGAGTCTGGATATCTGATTCTCGATCGGTTTAATTTTCGAGATAATCTTTGGATGGCTGCGTGTGCGTATATGCCGCCGGTTCACATACATTAAAAAACGGTCAAAAAATGTAGAAGCCTATCAAAAACCGTCAAAAAGTAATATTTCAAACTTGATTGTGGTAGAAAAATTGTTTTAAAAAAGGTGTGTTTCAGGTCATGGTTTGAGTATTTTCAGTTTTGAATTATTTTTTTTCCCACATGAAAATCGTTTGTTTTCTATATAAATTCAGAAAAATGTTGATATTTAAAAATTTAGTAGTAGTTTTTTTTTCATATTTCTTTCTCTCTTTTTAAACTTCATCCAACACGTAATCATTTATTTATTTATTTGTATATAATCAGGTGAATTTTCTTTCTTTGTCAATCATAAATGTGCTAGATAGAATTTTACAGTTGAAAGGAAAAAATCGGTTTTATTTAGTATTTGAAAACTTTGTTATTCAAATTCAATGAAATAATGAAAATAGTTTTCAAAAGAAAAACTCATAAAATGTTTAATTAAAAAAAATACTAAAAATAAATAAATAATAAAAAAGTTTGACGAAAAAAGTAACACTAAAATTACATAAATCACTAGAGATTGGTGTGTTTTCTCGTTTAACTCGGTCGTGTGTGTGACGACACAAAATCAAACGGAAATGAGATGAAAAACAAAAACAAAATGTCATATCCGAAAAAATCTATAAATTCCGTTTGCGGAAACAAAATGTGTGTCAATAAACCAATGCAATATAAATATGAAAGCCGACTGCGCTTTTCATCCTAAATACGTGTAATGTGTTGGTTTGTTTTTTTATTAATTCCTATATATTTATTAATAATATTCGGTCACCTAAAAATTGGTTTAAAAAGTTTGTGTTTGTTTGTGTTATGTTTCTCTTTTTTGTTGTCATTAATTTTGACTATAATTTTTTCAGTATATCGATCGAAAAGATGTGATTGGTACTCGTTTTTTTGTCGAAATGGGATGCATGTCAGTTGTATTGAATTTTTATATATGCGAATTTTACACACACTCAATTCAATATATGGTATCAGACAATATATTTAGCTGCCGTCATCTGGATATTTCAGCTCATCTGGATGCCGTCAGCAGATGATACGAATTGAAAACAATAGAAGTGATTGTTATAGTAATACCAGTATATAACAAGCTTATATACCTATAACAATCACATCCATTGTTTTCACTTCGTATCATCTGCTGACGATATCCAGATGAGCTGTAATATCCAGATGACGGCAGCTAAATATATTGTCTGTATGGTATGCTTTAAATGGTCGCAAATATATATAATTCTCACACAATTAATGTGTAAATTAAAAAGTGTGGTATTTTTTTTAGTTGAATTTATGAAGCTAAATAAATGATCTATAAAAATTGTGTAAATGATTTTTTTTTGTGTCGACATGAGATTCATTTTCCCGGTTGTTTTGATTTTACTTGTATATCTCTTTGACAGTCTATGTATTTTGGATAGATATCCATCCGAGATATTTTAGAATATCTGGATATTTAACGCAACTGCACAGGGCCAGAGCTGTGTGCGTCTCACATATAACCTACGTTATGTCGCTACACGAAAAATACAGACAAAGTGTGACTGTGTACGTGCGGCACTTGATAGTATCAAGTTGATACACATATACGTAGCGACCTACCGTAGATTCTATTTGCGATGCAAACAGCTCTGGCACTGTGCAGTTGCGTTGAATATCCAGATATTCTAAAATATCTCGGATGGATATCTATCCGAAATACATAGACTGCTTTTTGATCCGAAATGTGCATATCAATTTCGATTTGAAATGTGTGTCTATGTGAGAAAATGACATGAAAAACTGTCGCAATATTGTTTGTATGTGTGTGTTGACGGACTCAGGGAGATGCGAATATTGCGTGCTGTTTGCGTCAATTTTTCGGTTTTATTTCGCATAAACAACTGTTCATCTCATATTGTATCATGTCAGTGTGTGTATGTATATATATGTGTGTTTGTTTTTCTTCTTCTTGATACTTATTTTATATATAATTTATATGTATAAAAAATGAAAGAAAACTCAGCTTAGAGAACGACATCTGGCAAATGATGTGGCAGGGCGTGCGATCTGGCCTAGGTTTGTAGTTGTGTATTGTGTACGATTTTACGTTCTTTAAAGTAAATCTCTTCTGATTCTTTATCGCATAACAATAAAATAACACCACCGAATAAGAAAATAGCTGCACCCCAGCAGACACCATACGCATATCCAAATTCCCATATCGGACGATTGCCTAAACTTAATTCGCCCGAAAAACACAGCGGATACATGATGAGAGCCACTAAAACCGAAATTACTGCAAGCACAATGAGAGACGAAAACACGAATAAATAAAATGTTGAAAAAAAAAAAATAAAATAAAATATGCAAAGTATTTGATACTTACATGCTACCAACATAATGAGTACAGCTCGCCGATAGAACTTGTACTTTATGTTTTGATTTTTTGTGTGTAAACCAATTCCCGTTAAAACGGTTGCGATAATGTCTGTGATCAGACTGAGTATACACAAAGCGGCCGTGGCTTTAATATAATCTAAAGGAAAATTAAAAAAAAACACGGGTCGTCAGTTGCCATTCAAATGAAAAGTTCAAAAAATTGATTACTTACAAACATCTCGGCTCGGGTAGCATCCTTCTCCTTCTTTTGCTTCATAGTTGAATGGTATTGGCTGAGTGAGATCCTGAATGCAATGCGACAAATGGTTTTATTGTTTATAAAATTTTAATTTTCTTTTTATAAAAATGATCTATTATTTACCTCGATGCAGTGTGAGAACAATCCCTGCCGCCAGCCACTCGACAATAGCCAATCAGTTGATGTTAAGGCCATTATCAAAAGGATAATTACAATAATGCCACATATGAATGCGATTACCTGTGTATTCATTGTCATAAACATTATTATAATTGTTGTTATTGTTATGATTTCATCCCCACCGGTGGGGTGATTCGTGCATCAAATGAAAATCAATAAATTTCACATTAAATTTGCTTATCGTATGCAATTCACTTCAATCAAATTTAATGCATTATGTTGTCACGTCAATTTTCTCTATTGTTCAATTAGCAAACAGCAAACTATGCATATACAATATAAGATTGTGAATATATGTGTGTGTGGATGTACCTGTGCTATGTAATTGGCGGCCATAATTTTTCGGGCAGAACGTTTATTCAATAGAATGATAGAAGACTGAATGATGGATATATATCTGCATATATTGAATATATATGCACATAACACTCAACAAACAAACACTTTGGCTATGAGTTTTCGCTTCTTTTTCTTGTGTTCTTGTTTCGTTTTCTTGTTAAATCGTTTGTCGTCGGCAAAATGTCTGCAGAGAAAGTTCGCTTTCCTGCTCTTTTATGATGCTATTTTAAATGTTATTCTTTTAAACTTTAACTTTGGTATCCTTTACACGAACGATGTGAATAAAAAAAACGACTCTCTTTTCTTTTCCTTTAATTTGTTGCTAGTAGAAAAATTGTTCTTTTTTTCTCGTTCGATTCGACTAAACCGTTATTATGACTTATATCGAAAAAAATGAAAACATTTAATGATAGAAAAGTGTGCGTAATTAAATTGAAATGAAAAGTTATTTTGTCATTTGAAATGGCACTCAGAATTCAACTGGTATATGGTAAGAGAGCAACAATTCTTTTCCATCGATTTTAGCAAAGATGGTTCGCCATTTTTTTGTTGTCGCGTGCATCATCCATTCAATACAGACATTTTGTCATTTGTCTTTTATTAAATAATAACGAAACCGAACAAAAAGAAACGTTAACAAAAACCACCACCAATCATCATTTTCATTGTTCAACTGATATTAACTTGGATATTTTATATCTGGTTTCATCACAACGAAACTTTTAATCGAACACTTATCGATACGGATTTCAGCATGTTTATGAGATGTTATTTTTCACGAAATAATTACTTTTTTTTATGAGAACTTTTTACATTTCCATTTATATGTGCTTTTTTCTCGCCTCAGGCTTTGGCGATGGCAAAACAACGACCGATGTCTATTTTTTGTGCTTGGGGGGTGTTTGTCGATTATTTTGGCATCAGTAGCGATTTAGCCTTTTTTTGTTTTGTACATTGTGTATTTGCCACCATATTTCAATATCTCTTGCATTTACACTCACATACACTGGCCAAAGGATAGACGCATGCGTCGCTAAAACATTCAATTTGATTGCGTGTGTATGCTCATTTTTCGTGTTCTCCCTTCAAATGGAGATTTCGCACACATGCACATGTTTCGTATGTTACATGGCATCAAGTGTACTTTGTAATGGGCAGCGCAAAATTTTAAATTATTTCTAATCCATTAATGGTCTTTACTGATTTCGACCCCGTTGTTAACACAAGTACCACACACATTAATTGTTGCATACACATTTGCTAATTAAACACTTGAAAATGCAATTTGCGACAATGTTGAATAATTCATTGAATTTCGAATAAATGACCAAAAATTATTTATGCATTTACCTTTAAAGGTCGTGTAATGGTGACCGTTTCAATTGTTGTCATTGGTGCCGACATTTTGGCCGGTTGTGCAAATTTTCGGCTGTAAAATCGAGAAATGAAATTTAAGATCAAAATACTTAGTACAAATTGTTTCAAAATATAGCGGAAATAAAACGCGCACGCAAGAAAAACAAAAACAAAACCCAAACCAAGCGAAATGTTTTTCGAAATTTAGGTTTCGTATATGCAAAAATAGCACTCGCCAAAAGGTCAGTTAAAACTAAAAAAAAAGAGAGTCTAAAACGGATAGAAAAAAACAAACAAACAAACACAAAGTCAGCATATATCCACAAAGAGAATTCTCTTAAGCTTATGGCCGAGGATAGATTGTTTTAGTTGTTTCAATTGGTATTTTTTCTTCGATTTTTCCCTCTTCGCTTAGATGTAATTCTAAAGTCGTGCACAAAGTTCACGTTTACCAAAACGCAAAAAAATAGTATATAATTCAAGCGAAGAACACAATCGCAGAAAGATTAGAGACAAAGAAAAAAAAAAGGTCGGAACTAAAACACGAGCAGATGCATGCCAATGTGTATATATCTCGGCAAAATTACCTTTCTCTGCGGTAGTCTAGTACCACAGACTCACTATCGAATTCACTGTAATCGGGTAATGAATCATCTTCGTAGTTACTGAAGCCATCGATCAACAATCGATGATGGTTTCGCACTGTGTTACCACTCCTTTCACTTAATTTATCGCTCAATTTTGGCATAATGATTCAATTGTTATTCTTTTCTATCGATTTTATTGCGGCCCAATGTTGAATGGGAGCGATTCAATTGAATCGAAACAATGTCAAAATAAATAATAATACAGTATGAATAATTCTTGATGAGGTAGAGGTTTGTTTGAAAAATTGCGTAATTTATGCGGTGACTGTCAGTCGGTTGGTATATATGTCGTGCCAATTAGATCAGACAGCCACCGAATCGCTTTGTTCTTTCGTTGTATATGCACAGATTTTGACAAAAACTATAAAAATAATAATTTACCTGTGTGTATGTGTGTATGTGCTTCAATGTTTATTTTTGTCGTTTGAGTATTTTAGTTTTCAATTTTGAATGGTCTTTCTTGCGCTTCTGTCAGTCATTCAGAGTACCTTGTTTCGTATTTTTTTTTCTATTCCACTTCCTACGACTTTCACAAAAACATTTTATAGAAAAATTATTTTCTCTGCATACATTTAAAAACACTGACTGGCACACTTCACATCGAATAATATCAGCGTACACATTCAATTGAAACTTATTTTCACATCAATTCCAATCCGTGCAATCAATGGTCATGATTCACAGAAAACATATATTTTTTCACTGGTTGTTGTCTGCTTTCTCTCTCTATCGCTCTCTCCCACTTTGTCGCGCACACCACCAAATTGCGAATGAATTTCAATTGAAGAATATTGAACACGACCACAATCCTTTTTATGCAAACGATGATGAAAAACAATTTATATAGTGCACGAATATCGCAATGTAATTTCAACCAAAATAGCAATACGAACCATTGAGACGTGAACAACAACAGTAAAATGAGAACAAACAGTGCAACGGAATGCACTAATGAAAAACAGAGACAAATTGAATCACACGGATCATGATGAATGCATGAACATTGAGAGACTAAGCAATACAAATACGATCATGCTTAAAAATAACAACGATTGTCAAAATTGCATTTCAACACACCGAGCAGAGAGATCTCACGATCCCTATCGGTGATCTCTCATGTATAACTGACACTTCAATACTGTCTCATTCAATCAAATGAATACCATCAAAACACATGTACATTGTGCACCAAACAACCAAGCACAAATCACACACACACACACACACACCGTTTCTATTATTCCACACAAACACATCGTTATAAAAAATATGAATGACATTTATTTATATATATTCAATGAACAATTTTTTTTTTGAACAGTTTATTTTCTCATTTGTTTTGTAATATTTGAGGCTGTAATTTATTCAATTACTCGGAAAAAAATTCAATCAAACCATTTTCTTCCCTCCGAAGCGTTTCATTCACTGCTTAATTATAAATTTTGGAAATGTGCTACTTTCGTGGTCGTCCGGCCGCTTTCTTTGCCATTTGTCCTTGCTTGTCTTTATTACTTCGACTTAATAGCAGCGGATGGATTTCTGAAAAAAAAACATATCAAATTAAATTAAATGCCGAAACCAAAATCGATTCATGTTCACAGAATTTGTCAAAATGACACGAACAGAGCTGTTAAAGGCGCGAAGGTCCGGAAACTTTTATTGGTATTATTTTATTTTTATTTTTGTAAAAAGTGCTCTTTCTTATATTCAGCTCCGGCACTTGAAAAATTATATAAAATAAATGCGGGGGTGCACTTGTCCAGTACCACAATAACAGCTCTGGACATTAATTTCGAATAAAATTTGACAAAAACTGACCATCTTTTGGTGGTGCTTCTAATGAGATATCGTATGTAGTGACTTTTTTGCGAATACCACTCTGTGATGATAAATCGTCGGTGTCCATGGGTTCATCGGCGTCTTTAGATGTATTTTTCTCTTGACCATTTGCATTTTCTTGATTCCAACCATCTTCCGGATCTTCAACTTCGGGTGCCATTGGTAAAAATTGTAGACCCGCATCTTCTTCGTATTCTTCGTCAGAACTGCAAAATGCAGCGATCGGATCAACTTTCACAACATCCACTTCAATTTCTTCGTCTTGTTTTGCTTCGGCCGATAAATCAACCGACTTATCTTCATCTTCAATATCAAATTCAGATTCACGCTCTTCGTATTCCACATTTTCATCGAGCTCTTTAAAATCGGGCGCAAATGCTGACCAATTTTCTACTTGATTTTGTGCCCAAATCGATACCAAACCCGAACTAATACTTGTTATTATCGGTCGCACCGGATGCCACACAACATCAAGCAATAATTCACCTTTTGTACCATGCAAAATTTTCACTAAATTTCCAACCGATTTTTCCCACACATATAACGCATGTTGTCGTGCACTGCCGGCGCACACATATTCACCGTCGCCCGAAAAACAACACTTCTTCCAAGTCGTTCTGCGAATTGTTGACGAGCATACATTTAGACAATTTGTTATGAAAAAGGAAATATGGACTTGAAGCACTCACTTGTTGACCAAATCTTGTAATTTTTGTATCGGCTCCGGTTCACCATCTCTGCCACATGCAATCACCTCTTTTGCATCATACACACGAATTATACGATCCGATGTGTTTATTAGAAATGAACTGCAATATTAAATGATGCGAATTTGAAGGAAAAGGCGTAATTTTCGAGATGAAGAAATCAAAATCAAAACTTACTCGCTTCGCCGGGCAAATTCAATACTTTTAACTGCTGTTGCACTCGATGTACCCACAACGATTTTAAAGCTCGCCTCAATTTTCAATGTATGTGAATTTAATACCAAAATCTTTCCTTTCGCATTTCCCGTATAAATGTATTTTCCGCGCCGATCGAATGATGCAATTATATTCAAATCTCCCTGAAATTCAACAACGGCATGCAATTTTTTTCCACATCAAAAACTCAAAATCAACTCAACAAAAAATATAATGTCACTCACATCACTGTCGTACGGTAAGCATTTATGCGTTCCATTGATGTCGACTAAAACGGCGGCATAACGCATCGGACAAACAAGACATCGTTGATCGTTTCTCGGATCGAATTGTACTTTCAGAACGGGCGATGGAAATCGAAATTTTTGCTCACAATCACCAGACAAAATGTCCCAAATACACACATTATTGTCGGTTGATGCTGAAATTAGCTGAAAATAAAAGCAGAACAATTTGACAACGAAATTCAATGAAATGTGCACATTGGTTGCTTACTTTGTGCCCATTCCGAGACCAGCCTATACTGCAAACAGGATGCACATGTGCCGATATGATTTTTGCAATTCCACGCGTTAGAAAATCCCAAACAACAATTCGACCATCGTTGCAACCAACAGCCAATAGTGTGCCGTATTTATTGAACGAACATGTCACCGCCAACGATATACAATCGAGCGAACCATCAAATTCTTCAGGATAATTCTGTCCAAACGATTCTATCCAATAAAAATAAATGTCAAAATATAGATTTGTTGAAATTGCTTTGGAAAAAATTCTTAAAATGTTGAACATTAAATGAAATATACCCAATAATTCCAAATTCATTTCGGCTTTTGCAGCAAACAAATTCTCGATAGAAACAAACAATACGATATCTAAATATTCATCTGTCAAACAAATGTTATTCGCTTGCCGCTCTTCAGTGCAGCCATTGAATTTAACACTAACGACATCTATCGCATTTTCGTTCAAACATAACGACGATATTGCGGACTTTAATGTATTATTTTATATTTCCTATGTTGGTTTTCAAGATTTAAATATTTTAGAAATAAATCAACCATTTTTCAATTCTATGCTTACCTTTAGACGGAATACAAAAGAATCTAAACAGAATCATATAAACAATGAGATGCATTGGTTTCAATTTTTATTTTTACATAAAATATTTTTTTAATTTTTTGTTCTTAAAATAAAGAACTTGCAGTAAATCAATAGTTTTAATGTCCCTCTTTGTTGAATTGAATCTCAAACATGAGCATAAAAAGAGCATTGATATGAGTAAAATCAGAAATAAAACGATTTAAATCATTTGTGATTCCGATAAAGTTCATTTTTATTTTGATCAAATTTAAACAAAAGTTTACAGTGGTGAGACAAGGTGCGAGAGAGGTTGTTGTATGTTCTACGTAATTTCTCCCGTCCGGAAGGAATGTTTTGGTTTTCTGTTTTTTCTTTCTTTTTTTCCTTTAACAATAACAACAAAACAGAACCAAAATTTAAATTCCAAGGGAAAAGAAAGGAAAGAAAATGTTTTATTTGCAATTGTATTTCACTGTATGGAAGTTTGATTTTGTTAAAAATGCATCGTTACTGTTTTTCAATGAAACAGTTTATGGTATGTGATTAGAGCGCTATAGACATAGGAAATGGTCCACAGCTTATCTTAAACACTAGATTTTTTATCTTGTATAATAATAATTGATTTTAATTTGTCTACTCCTTCTTCGGGTTCTTCTTTAATATAACTTGAAATGAGTTCAGTAAACTGTGTGTGTGTGTGTGTGTTTCCTATTTTTAATCCGCTTTTTATAAGGTTGATCTGAAGGTGCCATTGTGATATAAAATTGGGTGAATATGAGAGGTAGAACAAAAATCGGCGGACATAATGTCAAAAGAAAATGGAAAAATGTTGAATTTGTGACTATGTGTGTCGGAAGCACAATTTTCAAATGGAAAAAAAGTTGCTCTCTCAAAAATGGTATTCCGGAAGGAATGTAACGATTCGAAGGCACTTGTTTCGTACGTAAATGGAAAAGCATTCTTATTTGAAATGGACAAATTTCATGTTAGTTGAAGAGAAATGTGTTATTCTACGTTCACCTTTCTTTGAATAGAAATACATTCAGGGAAGAAAAAAATGATTGCTTTTCTTATAAAAGTGTTTGTGTTTGGAAAAAACGAAATCTGTTTTGGTGGAAGCTGACAGCGATGTAATATGAATAGAAAAGAGGCAAAATTTTTCTGAAGCTCTGCAAAATATTATTCAAATATGTGAAAATAACTAACATTATTTTAATCATCGACTTCATCACTCGCTTTCAAAATGGTAATGATTTGATGAAATGGCGTCAACGGTATCATTGGTTTCTATATATGTATTTTAACTGTAAAAAATCTTTTTCATTCAACTGGAGAAAAAAAATCAATTCTGGATGAATGTCACTGGGTTTTTTTGGGCAAGGTCAACGATATTCAAATTTAATGTGCAAAAAGTGCGCCTAATCACACACATTCGGAAGAGTCATTTACTTATTTATGGTTGATTTACCGAAGAACGGGCAATTTCTTCATCTATTAATTCAAGCTCAAAAAAACACTTTCGTTAGAGACAAAGAGAGAGTGTGTGAGAGAGAATAATATCAATCAATTTTTGTGGAAAATCTCAATCGAATTCATGGCACACATTTGCATTTGATTTAAATGGTTGGAAATCAATCAAAGTCAACTATGGAAAATGAATCATTTGGTGAAAATATTCTATGATCTACATAATTGAAGCCTCTGTCACGTTGATTTCGATGTCTCTCTCTTTCCATATGCATTATCGTTGGTGAACTGTCCTGAAATTTTTTTTAAAAACAAAATAAAACAAGTATAGCAAAATTCGATATGGTATCATTTCATTTGACATTTTTGTACACTTACTCGTCGCTCGGTTCTGGTATTCCATTTGTTTGGCATTAGATTATCGGTACATACGGGAGATGCTATAAATGAACGTTGTGATTCTAGAACAGTTTGTGTGTGCTGCTGTGGCTCTACAAATGAACTGCGCCACGGCGCCCACCGAGGTTATTCTTCAATTAGATCCCAGACCATTAGAGATGCATCAGTTCCACCAACTGTAACTAGTGAATTGTCACCGTAAAGAAAACGCAGACAACCAATTGCACCCGAATACGCTTTTATCTCATGATATTCACTGCGATTGCTTATGCACGGGTATCTGGAAGATGGCAGTGAAGAAAAGTAGGTTGGTTAAGTCAAATTGATCTTTTTTGTATTGAATTAGATTCGTTTATTTTTCTCTTTGACGAATTTTGTTTGAAAATTCATACCTGAATAGTCGAATATAGCCTTCAGCATCGCCAGACGCCAGCATATCGTGTCCAGAAGCTCGATTGCATGTAGTTATTGTTGTCGATGAATTCGAATAGTATCGATTGTTCCACATGCCAGCCACCAAAAAGCCAACGGTCGAATTTTGTGATAACCATTTTATATCCTTCATTGCAATTGGACTTCGTTCGGGCGACAAACTTCGAACATCCCCTAAAAGTATATTTTTAAAATAAGTAAAGTAAATGAAGAGCATCATTAGTTGTGTGCTATTTTTCAAACAGAAAGCTGTTAACGATACTTACAGAAAAGTAAATCAAAATCAACGGTAACCGTTTGCAAAAAGAATCCGTCCATGCTCCAATCGACATGCTGTAATGGTTGTGTGCCACGAATTTTGTTTAATTTTTTGTAAGAAAATCCATCTCTTGATACACGAAACAGGTAGATACATCCATTTTGCGACCCCAACGCTATCATATCGCCAACTAAAAATGGATTGAAAACCAAAAATTACAATAATATTCTCTAAATCATGTCTAAATTCACCTTGATTGTAACTGATGCAATTCAATGGTGAACCACAAACTCTGAGTGTGATCATGGTGGTGCCATTTTCAGCGTTCAAAATAAGTAAATGTCCCTCAGTGCTGCCCACCGCTAATGCTGAACCAAATGGATGGAAAGCCAACGATACGCATTCGTAGCCCGAATGACATGTCCATAAAAGTTTTTGTCGTCGCCATAAAGCGATATTTTTATCGCAACCGGCCGTTGCAAAGATCTCCTCCTCGGGATGAACGGCCAAACCGAGCAATTGTCTACCATGGCCAAAGACCACTTGACTGAATCGTCGTTGCAATGAACCTTCAACAATGCTATTCCGTGTGGTACCAACATAAATATTACCATCATTTCGACCCGGTCGCTGTGGATATATTGTACGCACCCCACCGGCTAACTCTGGTAGTTTTGTGTCCTTAATTTTTTTATAGTTTTGTAATGAATCCCATGCGGCCACTTTTCTATCTTTTTCACCACCCGACAATAGAGTACCTTCTGATAACATCACTAAACTGCTGATACCTTTGCTATGCGCCTCAAATTCCATACGAATGAAATAGGCACCATCCGCATCAACACTGTATATGGTGATAAAACCATCTGTATCGGCCGTGATCACATCACCATCCGGTTCAAATTGAACACTTGTCACATGCGTTCGCGACGGCTGCTTTATAATATCCGTTCGTTCGAAGAAACCATCTTTGCGACGATGCCAAAATGATAAGTGGCCACGTCCATGACTTATTATCAAATTATCATCCAACGGATGAAATACCGCACCCGATAAATTCTCTTGCAACGTCTGAATGTAGAAAACGAATTTGTTTAAAAGAATTTTCCGTTTAAGTTTTTGTTTGTTGTTCAAATTTAAAAATTCACATTTTAAGGTAATAAATTTAACGCTAATCGACACTTTTCTTTGTAATCCGACAATAGGTGTCAATGGAATATACATTAAGCGAAATGAATCAATAATTACCGCAACTTTTCCTAATAAATGTCCCCATTGCCATTGCCACACCGACAGAACACTCTCTGGACTAGCATCGGCTGCCAATATATAACTACCGCCATTCTTCAATGAAAACAAATGAATTGAATAAACGTCTTGCATAATACATACAGTATTAGAGGGGGCGTTTTTCTCTCAACATAGATGGTGTTATTGGCACCAGAGTGTCAGTGTCGCACACGTCTTGAATACAAGAGTGAGCAGCATTTACAAGAAAACTGCTCTATTTACAAGAGGTGCCTATAACACTCTCAATGTCTCTCAGAAAAATAAGCTCGAAAAAGAGAGAGAAAATCGTGCAAAAGCCACAAAAAAATGAAGAAAATGTAAATATAAAATGTGAAAAAGTGTTCAAGGCAGAGTATTGCTCAGCGCTGCTGCCATCCAGAGCACATCAAAATATCTTGCTGAGAATGCGTCGTCCGTCGCATGCGAAGGTACGTAGCAGTTTATAAATCACAGCGAACAACAATACATGCATTGTTCTCTATTCAATCGTTTGAATGTTTTGAGTCACATAATCGTGAAGAGAACAATGCATGCATTCTTGATCGCTGTGATGTATAAACTGGTACGTACGTTCGCATGCGACGGACGACGCATTCTCAGCAAGATATTTTAATATGCTGTGGATGGCAACAGCGCTGAGCAATACTCTGGTTCAAGGTGTGAAATATTTGATTCAATAAATTATTAATTTTATCGAAAGGTTCAAACAAATTACCAATTGAGAGAATCCAACGGCGGTGACGCCAACATTAAGTTCTCCCATCCCAAATACGTATAAAGTTTGAAGAGATTCAGTACTCCAAATTCGAACGTGCGCTTGTGATTTTCGATCGGATCCAGCTCGTTGACCTGATGCAACAAGTTCACGCGAAGGATGAACATCCATGCTGAATGCCATTCAAATATAAATTCAAACACAAAGTGTCATTTAAAAAAAAAATTACTACAAATGCTATTTTCATTGTCATTCATTCATCTCTCTTGCTTAATATGGAAAAACCACGCACAAAGCCATTGTTAAAGTTCAAATACTCAAAGAAACTACACAAGTTGGATGATTCAACAAATGATTAAACAATTACCTCATAATATCTTCTGTGTGTCCTGTATAGTGTCGTTGCGCTTCTTCATCTCTGTCGTATAAAACAGCAACGGCCGCAACAAAATATAACAATTCCCCGGATGGTAAAACCCAAAGATTTTTACGTACATCCAATCCACGATAGCCGTGCACCCATTGCAATTGTAATTTTTTATCTGGCGCTGTATTGTCAACAGGTGGATGATGTATTGGTGGATAAAACGTGCGTCGTAAACCTCGTATATTTAATTTAATTGGATCTTCTTTGGCAATATCCAATGCAGTAAAATCGGCACTGCCTCGTTGTGCGATCTCATTTTCTGGTGCATACAATACACGCGGACGACTTTTGCTTCGGGCCCGTTGTCGAACGGACGCTTTAACCGGTTCATCGTGTAAAACAGTGGCAGCTGCTGTTGTCACCGCTGCCGTTGATACATTATTACGTGATCGTGATCGTCTGATTGGCGATCCAATCGGAGCAATTGCTGTTGCACTTGAATCTAAATAAAATGTTTCAATGTCGGCAAATTCATTGCGCAGCTGAGAAAAGCTTCGCACTTCATTTGCATGGGAGGCATGCATTGATGTGTACATTCGTTTAGCACCCGTCATTTTTAGTACTTGCCCCAAATCTTCTAGCACCTCTTCAAATGGCTGTGACGTTCGTAAATTGAGTAAAACTCGACACTGAAATGTTAAAACACAGTTTTATTTATAGAATCATCGATGAAGGAGCATCTAAAAATGGAATTCGACGTGATAACACTTTTTTATTGTTCGCCTTATTATTTTTTTTTGTGCAAATTCACGATCAATTGATATCATATTTCATTCGACAGAGTTCATTTGTTTTCACTTTCGGCCGCACGAATATGGTATTTTATGTTAGGTAATATTGTGTATGTAAGGATCGATGAAGGGATACACAATGTAAATGAAAGAAGAGGAAAAACACAGTATCGAAAAATCGATGCGGAACACACAATACAGTGGAACGGCCATGTGCTAAAAGTAAAGCATGCAATGTTGTATCACCATATCCACTTACACACGTGCATAAACATATTGGATTGAAAATGAGTTGTGCCAGCAGTGGCAGCAGCAATGGCAAAACGACACTTTCTCTCTATACGGACAATTTGTATGGCATTTCAGTGTATGGACGTGAACAAATGAAAATCTGCCGCGCGGAAATTGTGTTGCCGATGTTTTATTATTATTGAGTAATTACATTTATGAATGGGCTAACGTGCCTCCAAGGACATTCTGTAGATTTTTTTTTCTTCGAACAAAAGAAAGCAAAGAAAAAGAAAAATAAGCAACTAAATTCTTGCGCAGTATCTTTGTTGTATATATATATATATTTCTCATTAATTTGTTCCAGTATATATGCTTTCTCATGCTGAGCTCTGCCAATTCAATTCAACACTTTTCAATGTATACCCATGTACATTGTACATATATATAGGAGACGATTGAGTGCGCTCGAATTCAGATTAGTGAGCATTAAGTCGTTTGCTATTGATATATTTGTTTAATAAAATCACAATTGGCTGGTATTTATTGTTAATAGTCAAATGAATAATGGCATTAATCACACGCTTTTTTTCTCTGTAGTTTTTTTTTGTTCGAAATGTAATATTCACTCATTCTTTTTCAAAATACGTTCAATGCGAACAGAGATAATGAATAAAACATAAAATTCCGTGTTAAAAACACCATTAAAATACGGAAAAATCGTTACATTGTTTTCAGACGATCGATCGAAAATGTCAGCTAATTTTCGGAACCCATGGAAACTCTCAATTTGATATTATCGGAAATTGATCGATTTTAAAACGGTGTAGCCTTCAATCGAGGTGATATATGGCATCGTTGATTATTGTATTTATTTCATTTGCCCTGCCCTCATCCGTTTGCCCAAACTGTGTCAAATCGCAAAATATTCCCTTTATATTTTATTTGTTCCAAATATTTCTTCTTTCCCATAGTATTTCCTTTCATTCTTCCCTAACTTTTTTTCCATTATTTTCCTTAATTTTCGTTTTTTTTTTCGTTCTTGATTTCTCAATTTTACTCTGTTTCCCTCCAATTTGAGTCATATTTTGATTTTGTTATTTGTTGTAATTATATATTTCGCCGAAATTCACCTGCTGATTGTGATCCAAATTGTTGACAATTCGAATAACACGGCCCGCGCTTGGTTTCAGGACATTTGGAGCAGTCGGTGTGATGTCTGCATCTAAAACGGATGAATTGCGTGCGGCTGATTTGTTGCCCCAACCTTGATTGCATAATATTGGAGGCAAATGATAAACAATAACATACCTTGATTACATATATTTTAACTATCCGGATATTCTTTCGTTACCTTGATTGCCTGGAGATGCATACCACATGCCGTTCTTTTTACCGTAACTTGCTGGCTGTAAAATGCACAGAATGAAGAAAAACACAAACAAATTGTTATTAATCAAATGGTTAGGATCATTCAAACGGTTACATTTTCTATGAAATTGGTTTTATTGAAGCAGCTTCAGCACACAATAGTCAATTTGACACTTTTGGAAACACTGAGATTTGGTATATTCACAAAAGGCTCTCAAATCGCTAATTTTTGCACCCCGTGAAGGGTATAGAAGAAAAATTACTGATTTATTTTGATTTCCTTTCGGCAACAAAATGAATAATATTTTGATACACTGTGATTTCATTTAATTACATCACACATTTTTATCGCGTCAAATCAATTACGATACGGTATAATTACTATCGGAATATGCTTAATGACCAATGTCAATTCGATGTTGTTTGCCTTCCTTATTTGGGTGGTTTAAAGATCGACTGGTCATTGATTGGCGATGCAATCAATTAATTTCGATCTGATTTGAGCGAACGCGAAATGGACGAAAAGTGTGAAAAACAAATTTAAAATGCTTTACAATCATACAGCAGCTGCTTGTATGATTGCGTACTCATTTCAAACTGACAGTAAAATGGAATCGAAATGAAAACAATGTAAAGAAGGCGACAATACACAAAAAAATATCATAGAATATAGAGAGAGAAGAAAGAGAGAATGTGTAGCAACAACAATGAAGAAAAAACGTACCACACACACACACACATAATATTGGAGGAAAATGAAAACGGCAAATGAGGCAATAAAAGGTGGGAAAAAAAAGTATCAAAAAAGTAACCAAACGATGAATCCGTCCATTTGTCGTTTATATTGTTGAAAGAAACGCCATCCACTTCATTATTACATGTGCAAAAGTGTATGCATGCAAATAGCCAAAGCACATCGTGCCACAGAATCAAAACGCTCAAAAACCAACCGAAATCCAAGCAAACGGGTGGCAAAAGGGTGAGTGAGGACGAGAATGGCGAAATGCACAGAACAGCGAGAAAGTGGAAAAGGGACACGTGAATATACAAACGCCAAACGAACGACCAATCGACCAACAAACAAAACAAAAAAACATACATTTATTTAAACATAAATTAAAGACAACATAAACTGAAAATGATGATAGAATGAATGCATGAAAGGAATGTGAAGTGTATGGAGCGAAAAGCTGTGTCTGAGTGTGCGCGTGTGCCCGCTCAAAGAAGACGACGAAGTCGATGTGCTGAACAAGAGAGCGCGCGTGTCCGCGATCAACAAAAAAGCTCCACGCCAAAAACAATTGGAATATTTGTAAGTGAATAAGTGGAAATGTGGATGGGTTTGCGTTTTCGTGACTCAACTTCGATTCGGTTGGATTTAGCACACGGATTTCAACTGCGAAGAAGCAGTGATGGAAGAAACCGTTCGTCTTCGAGTCAATAGCGTCGCAAATTGGTAAAATGAAGAGGGAAAGAGAAACGGTGAATCATCGAAAGCGGGAAAACAAAGAGAAAGAGAGAAAGAGAGAAAGAGAAGGGGAGTTAATACGACGAAAAATACGACATAATTCGCATTTAATTGTCTTGCTGGGCATTTGAAATAAACGCGCCATACCACGATGACGACGACGATCGCAACATAAAAACTCAGTGATAGCGTTATTTGAAATATTTTATAAATTTAAACGATTCATGCTCCAAATTATTGTACAACGATGAAAAATGGGAACGTGCATATGTGGTGTGGGGAATCGGAATGGTTGGATGGTGCAAAAGGAGCTGAACTGATGGAACGCATTCATAATATCATGACGAGTGAAGAAAACGAAATAAAAACAATCACCACGACACGACACATTTTCGATTGTATAACGAAATAAAAAAAATTGCAACAACGATCATAAGAACCATACAGACTGCAACTTGCAAATTAATCTTTTGTATTGTTATTTTGTTGTTTTTTCTTTGTCCAAGAATAACGACGACAACGACAACAAACACACATAACAATTACACTTTATTTTCACGAAAAAAAACAAACTTTTCCCTTTGATCCTGTTTCGATGTGGTGTATGTGCTCTGCGTTTTTCTGCTGTTATTATTTCTGTATGTAACATGACGCAAGCTTGTTTTCAGCAGATATAATAACACCTTAACTACCTTATTATCGTAATACAAATCAAAAAAGTTAAAGTATGTCATTGGATATGAAGTATTAATCTTTTTCGTTTGAAAAGAGAGAAAAACAGAAGAAAACCAAAACAAACAAACCGAAGAATATTGCTTGGCATGGGTGTGCTTTCTGTTTCGGTGGTCAGATTTGCATTGAACTCTGGTTTGCGCGTTATTTTCCACGTGACTTTTTGAATAACGTTCCGTGCGCGAGATAAGCGCTTCCCTTACAATGCGTAATTTGCATCGACAATTAACCATACTGACCTATTTCATTCAGTTCGATGTCACGGATGTGTGTGTTTTTCATTCTCTCACTCATTTTTGTTGTCGTGAAAGCAGTAAATGCAAAATGGCGCTACCAGTTACTGACCAATATAAAAATAGATTTCCAACCAATATGGAAAAAGGATGAATGAAATTCAACTCATTTTCAATAAGTATGCGGTAACTGATCTTTTCCTGCTCATTAGATTTTATAGTAGGTGCAGTTGTAGTAGATTTTTGTTGCTTGAATCAAAGATGGCTTTTTTCCCGTTCAAACCATTTGGGGTAAATAAATTGACATTGAAGTCCCCCTCTCTCCACCTTTCTCTCTCTCTCTCTCTCTAACTCCCCATTAATTAGACGTTTTATTTGCATAATAAATATGTAATTTATATACATATAATATCGACAGCGATCTCTCTGCACTAAAAAATAAATATGAGGTCATAACAATTCGCATAATAGCTACAGCTCATATGATGAAAACAAATCACCGCCAAAATATTTCATTAAATTAAAAACGAAAAATGCCATTTTGGTGGAACTATAAAAAAGTCTAATTGTCGTTCGAAATGTTTCTACAAGTTTTTATTTTGCGAGAAAAAAAAACGATTGCAATTTCTTTACCCGTTTGGCCATTTATTGGTGTATGTGTGTGTGTGTGTGCGGAGCTCGACATGTGAAAAATTGTGGAAAAATTTATAACCAATATAAAAACTCTTTCATACGGAGAACTTTGAATTGCTTCATAAACAATTTAGTGAATATATAAATGTGTCGTTCTTTTTTCATCTTTCATTTCGTCGTTACATTTGGAGCGCACAGTTTTCGTTGCGTGTTGACCAACTACATTTCACATGAATGATTTCTCAGTTTGGTAAAGAAAGTGAGCGAGAAAGAGTGAGTACACACATGTGTAATCGGCGCTATTCTCATTTTAATGTTCGAATAAGGACCGATACAGATGATGGTTTATCGCCTTTCTCTCTCTCGGTGTCGTTGGTTGCTTTCAGTTTTCGCGTGCAAAATGTTTTCTATTTTATGTTATGTAAATATGATTGAAAAGCTTGCGTTTTCACACTTAGATTTGTTTCAAGGTTAGATCCGTTGACCTGAAAATGTCGGTTAAATGTAGGTAATATAAATATTTTTTGGGTCTGCGTGCCATATCACCACCACCTATCGATAATAGAATGCGACAAACATCTCAGCACACACACGCACACACGCACACAAGCGGCTTTATCGCTTGTCTTGCGTAAATTTATCACGATTTTCATTTTAGTTTGAGTGAGTACGATTGTACGATATCGTCGCGCATATAATTTAAAGCGCATTTTTCTTTATAACTGTTGATGAATTGCCGTCAAAACTTCGAAAGTTGGGACAAAATACAAAGGAAACAATGAAACTTTTTGTTTCTCCAATGGCAAAAACAAACGAACGGAATGAAAAATGGCTGAAAGAAAAAAAAAAGTATGACCGCAATGGTTGTTTTACTGACTTTGTTCTCAACCAAAAACGACTTCCGAAACAAATGCATGTCTAAAAAGTTTCAAGTAATTTTCTCTCACATTCATTTAAAACATGAGGGTAAATAAGTAACATACATTTAATAAAACACCCACCTAGCACCCAATACGATTGGATTTTTGCCTATTTCAAAATTATTCCAACACTTTTCGCCATTTTTCGAAACAAATTCGTGTTCACTTACCTTGAAAACCTTCAAACTTGAAAGTACATACGAGGCACCATCTTCTAGTTCGTCTAATGTATACTTTCGATCACCATCCATTGAGAATACATAACGAGCACCTGTAATTGCAGTTGAGCATTCAGTTTTTCATTGGACCAAAGTCAAAATACTCGCATTTTCTCAATAATAATTGAATCAAATTGTTGAAGAAACGCGTTAAACTCACCACGCGGTAAATCCATTTTCGGTGATATTTTATCCAACAACGATTCTAGACTATTCACATCACGACCTGGTTTAAAGCGATACTCAACGCCCGGAAAGAATGGATCACCATTTCGATAAAAAATCAAACGACGCGCCTTCCAATATGAGAGATTTTGATAACGGCTACTCGCACCGCTCATATCGGTTCGTGATTTTGAACGTATCAAACCCGGTGCTTGTGATGAAATTTCACTCATATTATCGCGTGGATGTCCATCGGATTGATGACCATAACCACCTGTAATTGCAGTTAAACATTCAATTTTTCATTGAACGAATGTCAAAATACTCGCTTCTTAACAAAAATGGTTATAAAAAAAGGCAATGGGGTCGAACTCGAATTAGTAAACACTTTGCGATATGTCCAATTTCGGCGAAAGAAATCGTATGGAAATGCATACATGATAAAATGATGTGATCAAAATCTAGGGTACCTGTTGACGGTCCGGCAAAAAATTCTTCGTCAGATGGACTATTTTTCATGTGATGTCCAGTTGATGTGTGATTATCAGCGTCATTTGTTGAATTTGGTGCATCGTTGATTGCATTTTCATTCGGCATACTACGTGCAGTATTATCGCCGTTGCGATCCGTTTCCTCTAAGTGTTCGCCGTCTGGATTATTATTTGAATCGTCTTCAGTATATTCAACGTCTTGTTCGTCGTCTTGATCAACGTCAATATCGTCGTCCTGCTCCACTTCAGATGTGTTGACGTTCGGATTCGTTTCAGCATGTGCATCGGCCTCTTCACGGTTGTTTTGTGGGCCAGAAACCTGTGCGGTTCGTTTGAGTTTTATTTTTTGTTTCGTTTTCAAATGGAAACAAAATTTGTTTTCAAAAAAAAAAAAAAAAAAACACATTGAAATGGGATTTAATTCAATTGGGACTTGGCATAGTTTCGAATAATTGTAGAAAAAATTGTTATGAGATCGGGTGAGAAACAAAAACTTTAAACGGAAAATTTGCAAATTAAGGAGGTTTTAGATGTAGGGAATTCGATCGAGGTGGTGGTCAATTAGCCTCGTTTTGAAAACACAAAAAAGCGTTAAAATTATGAATTTGTACATGATTGAGCTTATAGAACGAATGGAAGTCATGATTTCCACTACATTTACACATGTGTGATTTGCCCTGAGCAAAATGGAAAGCGATCAGCGAAATGCAGCCACACCTTTTCAATTCGGTGTGATTACCACCAAAAAAGACGAACACAAATGACGTATCCGATGATAATATGCTGCATTTCAACAACGAATGAACGAAAAAAAAAAAACTACAAACAGTATTTAGGTTATAATTACGTAATACAAGTGAAAATCTCCATTTTGCTATCGCAAAAATAATATATTGAATCAAAAAGTTCATGTTTTGCACTTTTCGAATTGATGTTTTTTTTCGGTTATTAAAAACTGCACGGTCCCTCAAATTGCACCATCATCACAGTATTTTCGATTAAAATAAATAAAAAAAGCGAACATTTCATAATCAGTGTCTAATATGCATTATTATGATGGTTAATAATGTCCGGTATTTGGTTAAAAAGAAATAGAGCACGCCGAGAAAAAAAACAACGTTTGGAAGTGCGAGCCATATCAGATACACAAGAATGATTAACAGAAGAAGACACGCGCAGGTCACACATAAATAGTTGCATCTTTTGCAGACGTACAATATCACGCGAAAAATGCGGCAAAAATCGTCGAACAACAACAAAATATGTAAATTAACGTGGTGCGTTTTGTTTTAAACAACGAATGAACAAAAAAAAAAAAGATTTTCTATTTGCTGGTTTTTATGTGTGCGTGTATTATATATATATGTGTGTGTGATAGACAAAAAACAATATATTTACCATATTCAAAAAATCGTGTGTATGTGTTTGATTTTAATTTGTATGTTTAGTGCTATTTTTCTGCTATTTTTTTTTTTTTTGTTTTAATTTGGTCTTGTTGGTTCTTGTTGCGCTACTTTCAAAAAAAATTGCATAATATCTGGTTTGCGGCAAACGGTCAAATGTTTGATTGATAAAATGAGAATGCTGGTGGTTTGACGCTCAAGAAATGGAATGATTCGGGTTTTTTTTTCTCAATTGAGAAATGGGAGCTAATCGAGCACAAATCGCGAGCAATATAATGAAAAGTGTATAATCTATATAGTATAATGGATTGTAATGTCTGTCTTTGTCTATTTCTCACCAACGACTATAATGTTACAAATTAATTTTCTTTATTTCTCTCTCTCTCTCTCTCTCTCTCTCTCTCTCTCTCTCTATCTCTCTATCTCGCTGTCTTTTCGTTTTTGATTCGATTTTTGTTCTTATTAAGAAAATTGTGTTCGCTTGACTCGTTCACCGACAACAACAACAACATTAAAAATTGAAAAGAATGCAAAGGACGAATTTTTCGTGGTCCGGAATTTCACATTGAAACTTAGTTAAATCGCGCTTTGTTCAAAACTAATACTTTTATCACTCTATTTTCTTTTCATGTTTCATTCAATTTCACTCAATTTATCAAGGATTTATTTGCACAATATTCGATAATTTGAACTTTGATTTGTCGAACTTTCTTTTATTTTCAATGTGTTTGGTTTTGTTTTTCTTTTATTTGTCGCTTAAATCGCTTCAGTTTTTCGTTATAGTAAATGTTCCAAATAAAAACATCGAAAATTCCATTCGTTTAAGTTTCAGTTTGCCCATTTAATGCACACACAAAACACACACACACACACACACCTGCCGTGAATCGAGTCGTCAAGCATTGAATTGACCTCATTACACACCAAGAAAACGCGAACTTATAGGCGATTTTCATATGGAAATGTGGAGTATTTTTTCAATTGCCATATTGTATTCATGAATTTCGCTGTTTCGGTCTCCTTTTTTCGTATAATCGGCCCTAAGGTTCAACGCCATCAAACGAAATTCCGCATATTCTATCTATGTCTCTCTCCCGTCCTCTATTTATTTTTGATTTTTAAATTTTCTGGATTTCACTAACTTTTACGCACTTGAATTGAATGTGATTTACGATATAAATATACTCGATTTGCTTATTTACTATCTGGACTATTTTAGTGGCCCTCTGTTAAAATGTCTCTTTTTCGTTTATTTGTGCTCTTAAAATTTACACTCAATCGGTCTGCCCAGTATAGTGCAGTTAGATACAGTTGCGCCGAGATTTAAGCATAGTCGACGACCGTATGTTGTAGTTTCTTAAGACCGCAACCACTTTCCACACGAAACGATTATTCATTACTGACCATTTGCTCACCATTTCGCCTGTATTTATGTTAAATTACACATACAAAATGGTCATAACTACCACTCTATTCACTCGCCACACCGATGTACATGTGAAAAATGAACAAAAGAAGAACAAAAACGAAAACGAATAACAACAACCGAGGAGGAAAAAAAGCACACAAGAAGTAGCACGGATAGAACCGCGAAGAAAAGCACGATTTATGAGAGGGGTGGGGGAGGTGGTTACTATAACACCATCCAAATACGGCTGAAAAAGGAACAAAGAACAACCGACCGAACGAATACATGAACGAACTGACCACCACTGACACCACCAGTTTAATTGACTTTACACACAGCCATACTTTCCTTTGATACTTTCTTTTTGATCGCTTCAAATGATAATTTCCAAGAAATTTGAATTCCCATTTTTAATGCAATTTCAAATTTCTGTTCAAATTTGAAATAGTCTTTGACTTTTACACCATGATTATTAATGATCAGCAAAGGTCCCATGGGGCCTGTATTTTTTTTAGAATTTGAATTGGATGTGATATCACGGTACAATATATGAAATTTTATATTTTAAAAATTGAATCTTCAAATGGATATAGAGCTCAATCATGATCCCAAATAGTATTTTTCGAAAAAATATTACTGGTTTCTAAATTTCATCAAATTTTATTAATCATTGAAAAACAATTAGTGAGCCCATTTATTTTGTGCAATAAATTATCAACTATTCCGAAGCTAAACACTTTCCGAAACTAAACACTCTTGAAAGATTTGATATGGATTTCCGGGGTGGTGTTATTTCTTGTTCGTGTACTATTGCTGGTGATGATATTGATTTATTATATGTTTTCATCGGTTTTGGTTTGGGTGCTGATGCCGCCGATGTTGATTTGGTAAGTGCTTTTGATAGATGTGAAGGAACGGCCGGTGGAGGTGTAATCCATTCAAATTCTGTTTGTCGAGTGATCTCCTGCACTTCTTTTATTGCCGCTTTCAAGTGACCAATGATTTCTTTATATGCGGGAACGGACCGTCCAGATAGCATTTCATCCTTACAAATAAATTTGCACGCTTTTTGGGTGATTGGAAAATTTTGAAAATGTTCACATTGTTCCTTAAAGAATTGTTAATTTTCAATATAAAATATATTAAATTCATAAATTTACTATTCATATTTTTCGCTTTACCAATATAAAAGCTTCATTTTCTTTGGCGGTTTGGTTTGATACAATATACCCAAATGGCATATCTACAAAGATACTTTCCATGTGAAAAAATGTATAAATTAACGACTCTAGATCGTCCATTGCCGTTCGACTCTGATTATTAAATTTGTGTGCTGAGGCGTACTTAAGGGTACCACCTTTACCCTGTTTACCGTTCAATGTGGCAAGATCAAAATCTATACAGAAAAATAGTGGAATTAGTTACATGTGTGACAAAATACAATTCTGTGAGAAGCGCTTACCGCCAACGAAAACATTATTGCCACGAAGAAAGATATTTTGTGGCTTAATATCGTTGTGCAAAACTCTTTTGCTTCGCATATATTGGAGCGCTTTAACCTAAATTTTGTTTAAAAAAAAGACTGGTCAAATGTCCAAATTCAAAACTGTCCAATTTTTTGAGCTTCATACCGATTGCAAAAACACTTGTAAATTGCTATATGTCCTGATGTACATATTTTGCTTTTTCCACCGACGAAATAAACTTTCGTCAAACAGAGTCATTACAATAACAGGACTTGTTCCGAACATTTTTCCAACGTAATAAATTCTGGGAATTCCATATTTTTCAATATCTTCATTGTCAATTGCATTCAAAGCCTTATAAGATGAAACCTCGTTGTCCATATTTTCTCTTCTTGTAAAGAATTTGACAGCAACTTCTACACCATCAAAGAGGGCTGATAGGAAAACACTAATAAGATATAATAAAGAATAAAATTGATACTGGTCGTACCTTTCCATATAACCGCATTGTCAGTAGTACCAAGACATTCATCAAATAAAGTTACTTCATGTTCATTAGTTTCAATTGGATTTCCTTCACCATATTTCACAAACCAATTTACATATTCCTTTAGTTGATTCACTGCATCTGGGTCAGCCTGAAAAATTAAATATGTTTTAATTAAATAAAGACGCACATCGAACGAATGAAAATGGCTTACGGCGGTTATTGAAATGCATCCAATCAATAAAAATAGTTTTATAAATTGCATTTTGAAATACTATTCAATAAAATTCTTCAACTTTTGTTAATCGCTTTATTAACGTGGCCTGTCTGAGAGCGCTATTCCAAATGAAATATTTGACGTAATTGTTTTCAATTTATTTCTTTTTTCTAGACTAATTGAACCAACTGTTCCGATGATAATTCATTCCATAATATAATAATATAATGTACAATAAAACCATATATTTGTGTGAAAAAACAGATGGCAGATATGATATTGCCACAATTACAGTTTCCAATAATGATAGATTTACTGTATTTAAGATATATAAAACGTAGTTTTCTGAAAATTAAATAGACGTTGTTGCTAACACGTACGTAGGCGACTATTTAAGTTTCTTCAATATGTATGTTTTAGTATTGCCCGATGCAAACCATTGTCATATTCGTTAAGTTTAACATTTTGTAGCATAAACGTTCTCAGAACGTTTTGTCATTCGATCGTTATTTGTATTGTTTACCGTAACATGTAAATTGCGTCTCAGCCAAAAAATGAATTTTACTCGTGAAAATTTTCGAGCGATTATTTTTTTCCACTTTCGATTGGGTGTATCACAACAACAGTGTTTTGATCAACTTCATTTGGCCTTTGGCGATGAAGTACCAAGTCTTCGGACAATTTATAATTGGTACAACGAATTCAAGCGCGGTCGCCTATCGCTCATCGACGAGTTCCGCGAAGGTCGTCCAAAATCAGTTGTTGTACCAGAAAACATCGATGCTGTCAGAAATATGATAATGGAAGATCGTCATGTAACATATCACGAGATTGAGGCATCCCTGGGCATTAGTGCGACCAGCGTATTTAAGATTTTACATGAACATTTAGCTGTCAGAAAGATTTGCTCTCGTTGGATACCACATAATTTGACAATCGCTCAAAAAAAGGCTCGTGTCGATTGGTGTAAACAAATGCTCAAGAAATTCAATCGTGGTGTTTCAAGATCCGTGTATTTTATCGTCACTGGTGGCGAATCATGGATCTACGCGTATGAGCCCGAAACTAAACAGCAGTCGACTGTATGGGTCTTTCAAAGTGAAGATAACCCAACAAAAGTTGTTCGAGCTCGAAGTGTTGCGAAGCAAATGGTCGCCTGTTTTTTCGCGATAAGTGGTCATGTGGCAACAGTTCCACTAGAGGCTCGTAAGACCGTCAATTCTGATTGGTACACCACCATTTGTTTGCCCGAAGTGTTTGATGAAATAAGAAAAAACAACCGCCGTCGCAAAATAATTCTTCATCATGATAATGCGAGCTCTCACACATCTCATCAAACAGTCGATTATTTGACCGGTCAAAAGATCGATTTAATGGGTCATCCGCCGTACAGTCCTGATTTGGCACCCAACGATTTCTTTTTATTCCCGAGCGTGAAGAATAAACTGCGAGGTCAACGATTTTCATCGCCCGAAGAAGCAGTTGATGCGTTCAAAACACACGTTTTGGAGATATCACTTTCGGAGTGGCATGAATGCTATGACAAATGGTTCGAGCGAATGCAAAAGTGTATTGATCATCATGGCGAATATTTTGAAAAACAATAAAACCATTTTCGATGATACCCCATTGTCTTATATATGTTTTTGAAAAAACTTAAATAGTGACCCTCGTATCATGGTACCATACGTGTCTTTTCATTCAAATTACTATTTTAGTATTATTTCTGTATAGTATTTTTTCTGTTCATATGGTAATTGAAATATTCTCAATAATTCGACATAATAAAGTTTGTTAAAACTTATAACCGTGTCCTTGGTGTGGAACGTCTGGAAAACTTTACTATTACGGGTTCTTCGTTAGATTTCGCAATTAATCCATATTGAGTTACTCTCAATTTGCTTATGTTATAAGTGACATTTGGAAAAATTTCATTTTTTTTAAATAAGAAATTTCAACATCCAAATTAATTGCTCCACTTAACTCCGAAATATGGTCGTTTGAAAAAAAAAATGTTATTATCTGTATCTACGTCCATGTGTATAACTTGCTTTCTCTCTCCGCAAATTAAGCGTATCAAATATTGAACAACCATTACAATCGCCGCGCTTCTGCCGTGGTGAAATATAGAAAAAGAGAGTTTTTTCAGGCGGGTAGGATATGAAACAATGAAAGTAGTCTTTCATATTTTTCCTTTGATTCACATACAGAATCAATGTTCTAGACAGAGATCGTCAACAAATTTGAAATTTACAAAAACAAATATTAGTAAACCCAATCGAGTTTCATAAAAATTTGAAACAGATACAACCTGTGACTTTATTTTTAAACCAATGTTTCAATTCCAAAAAATATTTTGAAATGTAACTAAATTATTTGTTTATGCGGTGTTTTTGCAAATATTAATCTTCTAAGAATTCAACGATCAACATTTTTTTCTTGCCTTTGATTTGAATAATGCAGATGATGAATCTAGGGGCTTGAATGTATTTTTTATTGCTAAAAAATCTTGCATATTCACGAATATTGGTGCATTTTGAGTAGTGAACAATAATTTCACTTTCTGTGAATATTCGTGATTATCACGAATATTTGTAATATACCAAATTCATACAAAACTGTGTTTAATTGAATTTTTTATTTAAGTTCCAAGCCCCTTGTAATAAATATTGTGCATGCTCGAGTGATTCAAGCCACTCAAATTCGGATTGCCCACTTCGTCATTTAACTTCGGTAATCGCTGCCTTCAAATGATCGATAATTTTGCTGTACTGGGGATCTGGCCGCCCCGAAAAAAATCCTTACAAATAAAATTGCACGCTAATTGGGTGATTGGATTTTTTTTAATGTTCCAAAAGAATAAAATAATTCTTGCATTTGTATTTAAAATAGCATTTTTCTTTTCGTTTTACCAATATAAATGCTTCTTTTTGTGATGCGGTTTGGTTGGATATTATGAAGCCATCTGGTTTAAATGAATTTATTCTCTCAATATACCATATCGTGTAGACTCAATGTCGTCCATTTCATTTCGATTCTGATCTGCCCACCGACGTGATGAAGCAAATCTCTCCGTACAATCGGTTTTTAGAGTGGCAAGATCAAAATCTGTACAGAAAAATAGTGAAATTAGTTACACGTGTGACAAAACGTTATTCTGTGAGCAAGTCCTATAAAAGCTGTTTGTTCGTATGAACATTTTTTCGATTCGTGAGACATGTCTGTAGCAAATCTTGTACAGATGATTGGGCGTATTGGCCATAAATTTTCGCGAAATTTTGAGTACTGAGCCAAGTTCTTAAATGAAATGCTTTATAATTTTGTTCATTTTTATTTAGTGTATAGTTTTTACAAAAGATTTAATTTTCCATTATTTTGATGTGTATTTTTTTGTCTTTGAAATGCCAAATAATAAATCGATGGCGCAACCTAGAGTCCAAGAAACCACATGACCATTCACATTTTGACGAAACTGAAAAATCAAACGAAAATTAAGTTATATATCCTTTAACATACATTAACCAGTGTTATTTTACTTCAATATTTGTACTCAAATTCAATCCATATGCATGATGTAGAAGAACATAAATGTACGTTAAATGTAAGCATAAGAATGGATCCTTCGTTTTCGTGTTGCATACGATTTTTGTATTAGATAATATGTCGTTTAGGGTTAGTCTGCCGCCTTTTTCACTATCTAGATGAAGTAATAGAATGATAAACATACCATAAACTGCGAAATATTTTCGATTTTGACTTGGCACTGGTAGCAAGTATGTTTCCGAGTGATGTAATCATACATGATCACAGTGGAGCTTAAGTTCGAATAACTTCTTTTCCCTCTCACCCGAGCTATCCTCCGACATCATTTACCGACCGTTGCCCATGCATTACCGTATATTCTGATTTGTACACTTACCAATTAAACCGATGCTCAGAATTTTATAGGCGAAACCAGAGAAGGCAAAAATTCGCTGGTTCTCTATGTGAAGTTTTGGATTAATCGTATTCAATGTTACTTTTTTGACACCATCCATACATGCATCGAAATCAATTGTTAAGTTTCGATTGGGCGCACCACTTGAAAAGAATTCCTGATTAAAAATCTTAATTTATTTAAACAATTATATATCTGTACATACCTTACGGTAAATAACATAGTATTTAAATAGAATCGTCTTAATTTCACACTGTGACGCATACAAACGCTATTGAAATGTCTTGTCCCATTGGGCGTACCATATTTGAGCACTTTATATAGAAGAACATCCAATCCCAATTCGGAAGAGAGGGAAAACACATCGCTTTCATAATTTGGTGTTACTACAGAATATACATGGTCGTATACTGATGATACTTTGCTAAAAAAAATTACCATTTTGAAAAGTTCCTTTGCTTTGAAGCTTTTTTTAGTTCTTAGTTATCAATGTGTCCTATATTATGGATAGAAATAGCACTAAATAGTGTCGATCGTGAGTTACGGTGTCTTGCGGAAATATCTTCCATATATAGTGCATCGATAACGATCGGTCCGATATAGTATAGATATCGACACTATTTAGTGCTATTTGTATATGTTATGAACACACTGTTAGTTATATTGCATTGAAAATATACCTCTTGAGCTTATCTTCTATCGCGAAAGACACTTGCGTACTGGCGCCACCTAAAGAGAAATCACAGCTACTCATATGTTTTTATATTTAAGATAATTTTTTTTACCCATATCCAAAGCGGCCACCGTTTTTTTACTACCCAAAAGACCTATGATCGTGTTTAAAATATATTTTATTTTGTCTCAAATGTGAGTCTCAAGTTTCTCACCTAATAAGAAGTTAATGGTAAACCATGAAAAAATTCCTTCATCGACAGCATCCAAGATTTCGGCCGAATTTCCATTGATGTAAAAGCCAGATGTTGAAAATACCTTACGAACTTCTTTCAAAATATTTTCAGCTTGATTGGGGTTTTTCAGTTTTCTCATGCCACCGGTTGCACGCAGTATTAATTGTGTACTTGCCAAGTTTTCTTTTGGTATATCTTCTTTCACATGTTCTAGTAGTTTTTGTATTTGATTTCCTCCCTATTTTCAAAGTTAGTCTATGAATTGTACGTAATTTTTATTTGAATACCAACCTCTATTGGATTATTCCAAAATTCATGTAGACCTGGTGTCATTTGTTTCACTGATTCTCTGTTATTCAATTGCAATTGTCTGTTGAGATGATCCACATTAAATTTGTAAGTAATCGCTCTGCTACCCGTTGAACCGGCATCAATTACAACTACATACTGCAAACCTATTGCGTATGAAAATATTTCACCATGAAGAGCATAAAATTGGACCATCAAAAAATGCAAACGTGGTATTACCTGTGGACATTCCTGCACATTGTTTCACCTGTCGTTTTAAAAAAATTAATGAATATTCATCGAAATAACATTTATATTATTGGACTGATTTAATTAAGTTTTTAATAAATGTGACTAAACTTACATAACACTCGATTAATAATGCAAAAAACACCCACGAAAATATGGTCATTTTTTTTAAAAAAGAAACACGTAAATGCCACTCAAGAGTATGGTTGCTTGAATGTCTTTGGTGAATGAATATCAGGTAATGATTTTTGTACTGGTTTGTTTCTCAAATGACACTTCTCTATAAAAAGATTTGTAAATTTTACACACGAAATCTTCAATATTCGTAACGAACAAAGCGTAACATGAAGAAATTTGTAAATTGCAACAGAAAAATTTTGAAACATAAAATGCAGGAAAGTATCGAACTATGTACCAATGTATATACAAACCATTCGTTATTATATAAAAAATTACAAAAGTGGATATTCAAACAGTCATTTGTTACATACACTAAAAATGTGCAAGGTTACAAAAAATTGTGTGCAAAAAACTCGACTCAGTGCAACATACTCCGAAACAGACTAGTATTTAAAATATTTCACTCTTCCTCAAACACTTTTTTGCTTGAATTAATTGTTGCTTTCAGCTTTAATATAAACAATCTATGGAATTTTTCACAGCAAAATTCAGAAATATTCAAAATAAATTAAAAGTAAAATTAGATTTTTATTTATATCACTACTGAGACAGCATCATCAGCGAGCGTCAAATGAACACTAATCGTTCGACATAAATAAAAATCTCATTTTATATTCAATTTGTTTTTTATTACGAACTTTGCGTCAATTTATTGGTTATTTGTAGGCATCTTTAGTGAATAAATTTACTACTTGTTTTGAATTGCTGCTGTTTCGAATCGAGATTTTTATCTCAGGGCAATTCCATTTTCGGAAACGATGGTTCAATAATATTTCATTCTTATTTCGATATCCAAACAAAATAAAAGAAGCAATGATTCTAATAAAAGCTGCAATGACTGAATAACCCTGATGAAAAATGTTTATTACGATTAAATGTAGAAAAAATAACTAATTTATGTGTTGTAGACTTGAAGAACTGGAAGAAGATAATTCTACAGAATTATTTTTATGAAACTGATGTGTTCAAAACTTTTAAATTAAAAGAATATGTAGTTGACTAAACGAGTTCTGCTAAGAGACTAAAATTAAAAATAACAGAAAAGGAACGAGTCTAGGAAGATTTTGAATGAATAATTGAATGAATTGATCGACTGATGACGTTAGATGAGTAAAAAAGTTTCGGTACGATAAATGAATTTTATACACATTTCAGTTTTTCACAGGTGTCCCTCGTTTATAGTCCGCGACATTTATGAAAAATGGCAATTTGTATGAAAATCCTTAATCGTACTGATTTATTGTAAGTTATGGAAAATAAATCCTGGTGATCCGTTCATAAAGTTGCTCTATTTTTTGTTCCGTATACCAGTTCAACTCAACTATTTCAAGTATTTTCCAAATAAAAAAGAACTAGCAAAAAATGATGAGAAAAACAACAAAACAATTTACTTGTCAATTGTGAACTGGCTCAGGGGCGTCGCCAGGAATTCCATTAGAGACACATGAAAAATGAGGACAATTTTGGGGTGATTTCGTTGTTTTTTTGAAGATCACTTTTTTCGGTGAAAATCTCTAGCAAATCGAAAGAATTTCTCCTCATTTTACAACTTGTTGAGCTAAAACAAGTTCCTCACTTTTTCCATGAAAATCCCCAGCAAATCTGAAGAATTTTCTTCTTCCAAAAACGAGGACATTATGGATACACATTAAATAATTGCAATTTAAATTGATTTTATTTCAGTGAATAACTATTCATTTTGTGATTTTTATCACCAAGTGATCTGTAAATGTTTGGAGTAAACAAAATTATGCGTATACAGTCATATAACTTGTCACTTTTTGTTTGCAAACGGGACATCTTTCATCTGATCTCCATTCACTTCTCCACGACCTCCAACAAGAATCACACGTATGTTGATGATTACAAGGCTTTAGAACCGCATTCTTCTTATTTTCGTAGCATATAATGCATTTATCGCTGTCAGGACTTTCATTTCCATTTTCTTTCGAACCCAAAAGGATTTCAGATTTAGCAAAATTGGCAACTCCTCCCCAAAACGCCAATTTTACGGCTTTTGTTAAAATAAGACCATATTTTTTTCCACGTTGATAATCTTTCAATTGTCCATATATACCAATTGCTAATTCATTCTGCTTCATGGTGGGTGGTTTAAATGATGTGCCCGCTTGTAATACGGTGCCCTTTCCATTTTCTGTGAGATCGGCTTTTATATAAAGTCGTTTCGTGGATATTGCCACATGTATGAAAAATGCGAGTAAATGATCATCATTTAAATTGAGCACATTTTGACGTTCAGGTTGTCCAACCTCGTATTTGACGTAAATATCGACATCTCCTATTTGATCCCATGTTCCTGCCTTTTTGGATGTGTGAATTACTTGAACGTATTTAGCATCGCCTTTTCTGATCGAATTCTTGATCTTCCATCCAAATAGAGGAGTTTTAATGGGGTCCAATGCTATTTCAAAGTGACATTCATTAGAAAAAGTTTTTTTCAATTGCATTTTTTAGAATATATGAAAAGTTTAACATACCCAATAGTAATTGCACAGTTTCGCCCGTTTTTTTGAGCAAATATTCACAAGTTCGACCAGCGATATGTGCACCAAATCCAAAACCAGTAACATCAACCTTCGATAAACTATTTAGACCTTTCTTCCCTTTCGTCGCCCTAACTTTTTCACGCACGAAGTATACAAGGTCACGTGCCATTTTCGCCACATATTCAAGCCGCCGAGTTCGAACCATTTCATTCATAATTGCATACGACTTTGAATTTTTCGGAATGGTTTTATACGAGTACGTTACAATGCAAATATTATTTCCGGATGCCTGGGACCATTCTAAGAAGAAAATAAATGTGACAATGAGTTTTTATTAAAAGATAATTTGAATGTTCTTTTGTTTGCTATAAGGGGCTTATGACTGACTCGAGTCACTTCATACACAACGCACACAAAATATATGGCCGTAGAGCGAGTCACGAGTCACGAGTTAATGTCAATTTCAAATATCATCAACGTTTAATCGAAGACATATAACTTTTCTAGTATCCAAAGGAATCATATTAATTCTCTTAAAAATGTCCACTGTGTTAAAGCAATTATTGTTCAATTTTCTTTCTGTTTGATAATAAAAAAATGCGAACGAATTATTAGCTTATTTATAGAACTTACGCACTGCGCTAGGTTTTGGAATCGGCAAATTAGAAGCAAATGTCTTATAAAAATACTTTGTACTCATCATACACACGGACAAAAATTTGAAGGAATCTTTATTTTCATAGCTTGATATAGCTAATATTTCACGATTTTCGATTACATATTCTTCAATTTCAGCGACACTTTCTGTTTTAATAAGAGATAAACTAGTTCGGCAGCCAAATCCCATTTCCATTTTCTAATAAAACACGAGAACGGTGTAGAGAATGAAAAGCTTACCATTAGCAAATTGACGAATCAATCCTATGAAAGGAAACGGTTGAAAATGAATTAAGATGATTAATTTTTATCGAAAGCGCATTGGCTTTCAAATTAAAAAAAATTACCGTTGAAAGACGTGACCACTTTTGAAATCGCATGGAAAAATATTGATAGACCTTTTCCATTATTTAACTCTTGAGTTAATGCTACTGAAATGGTTCCATTTATTTCAGCAATATAAAAGTCTGGCTGACTACAGATTGCACAAGAAATGAAGTTTTGTAAAAGAAATGTTTGAGTAAAGTGCAAAATGAGAATGCGAGTTTTATTTTTTTATTTTTTGAATACATACGAATCTGTTATACATGCTATTTTAATTGGATCTCCCTCGTATTCAAACTCATCAATATCAAAATCGTCGTCCGAAGAAAAGCAACTACCACCAGCTCCCGTACACTCGTTTAGAAGAACTGCAAAAACAATTGTGTACAAGAAAATCAGCATTTTCCCACTCATTTTATTAACAAAAAAAACTGATGATGACCGCCCTGCGACTAAACCTTAGCTAACTGTACTTTCTTAATAGCGGTACGTATTTATAAGACAAATTTTCATACGTGGATTCATCATTAACGAAATATATTACGTCTGTATAAAAAAATATGTCATAATTCTACTATAATATAAAGAGTAACAACATTCTAAACAAGCTGTTTTCGAGATAATTAGAAAACAAGAAAACAAATATCGCGAATATTCAAGACAAGAATTGCTATATATGAAGGTAATTCGAACTAATAAACCAAACATTGAATAAATTTCAAAATACATTTTTGCAAGCTCAAAAATTAAGGTGTTATTTTTTCTTGATCACGCTTTAAAATCGTTTTCGTTTTTTGTTTGTTTATTGCTATCAACATAAAACCTATTTTTTCGGATTCCTTAATTGGTTAATTTTTCCCTGGGGCTTTAAAATATTCTTTGATTTCCACTCGTTTATGCATCGATACATCAAGCATTACTTCCAAGTACAATACTTTGGCAGTGTATTTTAATTGAATTCAATTTTAATATGTGTGTGTTTCTATCATAAAAGATGACATTTTAAAAATGCTTTCGAACAAGTTGTTTCGTTTGCTTAAAAAACAAAAACAGAAAAACTAAGATGGTAGGTTTTTGCTTTTTTGATTTCAAACAAATTTTAAAAGATCATACGTTGTTTCTTTTTTTCCAAATTTTTCGAAAAAAGCTTCTGAGCAACAATTGTTTTGGCGTGCGAAAGAAATTGAAAGGAAGCAATCGGGGTTCAAGACATAAATTGACACGTTTTTTTCGGTATTTCAGAATGAAGAGGAATGGAAAGGATAAGCTACGCTTGATTCGCAATGGTCTTAACTAATACGCATCGATAAGAATTGTTCGATTAAGTTTAATGATTATTAAATGAGAGTCCTTCAAGCTCGCCCCATTCTTTTGTTACCATTTTCATGTTATTTTTGTTGAAATGACGAACATTACTTACCGGCGGGTAACTATGTCCATGCAAAAGTCCTACCGAAATATGGTAATGCCCTACGGAAACAATATGAACTAATTGAGGAATAACGATACATAACATTACCCAATTATTTAAACAGATACATTATCCTCTATTCCCCATTTAGTTTATATTATTGCCGTAAGGCGTCACCATTGTTGCGTGTAAAACTCTGAAATCGCCCTCCCTTACTTACGGAAAGAGGTCCATCTGTATGCAAGCAATAGTTTTGTTTAGCAAATTAGTGTATTTTGTTCTATACATTACGGAAAATGTGAACGAAAAAGTTTTGTTATGTTTGTTATTAAATTTGTATGTGGGCCAAATTTTCTTAAAAATGCTCAATACAAACAGATGTTTATTACTCAATCAATAATAATCTTACAAAATAACTTCTAATATGGTTTAATAGCAATTGTAATGTACAAACGAAAGAAAAAGAAACGACACGCGGAAAAATAATTAAATTTATTAGTTCACATTTGTACACGCAACTATGACATCTATGTTAGATAGAGTCCAGCGTTCAATACAAAAATCTCATGATGAAAAGAACAATCGAAAATAGGCATTCAAATAAGTCAATTTAATGTTTGTCGCAAAAAAGAGAGAGAGAGAGAGAGCCATTTCGACCAGAAACGAACCGTAAAGGGAATAAAATTTGAAAGGATTGCAGACCAATTGAAGGCCAGTATATTCATAACGCACATTTTAATTGTTTTATTTTGATGATACGGGAAGTGAAATTGCTCTGTTTACAAACTGCTTTACTTTTACGACACTCAAATAGACCTATATGGATTTTTGTAATGGCATGATGAAAACAATACCGAAAAATGGCCGCACATACGCAATATGTAGTCAAAGTTTTTGAAAATATTCATGTTCGCGGCATAAGAAAAGGATTGCGTTGTGTGTTTATCGTCATGCTAACCATTTGTTTGGACGGCTGCTCTTTGCTTTGCGCCATAAATTTATTTGTTGAGATAGCCTGATTTTATGAAGTGCTGTGTTTTTCTTCATTTTTAATGATGGTTGAGTGCAAAGCAAACGAAAGACGTGGCCACTGTACGTGGTCGTTTTCGTTTGTTTTTGTTGTTTTATACGCGGCACTTCTTAGTTTTATTTAATTTTGTTTATACAACATTGCTTGAATTAATAGTGCACACGAAATCATCGGCAACCAAATAACCCGAACAAAGAGCATTGAATTTATTTCAATATCGTGTGCAATGCCGGGGGTTTTCTGTGATGGATTCATCTAAATTCAGAACGGCGAAAAAAAGTGAACAAAAAAAGTAAAGGAATGAGCCAAGGTAAAAAAAAATGAAGCGGAATTGAGTGGAAACCAAAAGTGGGACAGAAAAGTTGAAGTTATCCACACTCTAGCGGGTGACTCTTTGCTTGTTTTATTGTTCTCAGCGGACAATCCACCCACATTTGATGGTTTGTTGAGCATTTGACTCGAAAGTTTCTCTTAAATTGATAAATTGTTGGGATTTGAACAAGATTGATTAGGTTCATTTAATTCAGTACGACATAGTATCCTCATTTCCGTTGCTCTCATTTCTGATTATTCGCCGAGAAAAGAAGTGTGACTGAAAGAGAGGGAGAGAGAGAGAGGGAGAGATAGAGAGGGGGAGAAAGGAAGAGAAAGAGAGAAATAAAGAAAGAAGGAGCAAGAATGAAGAGTAAAACAAAAACGAAAATGAATAATTACAAGCAAATGCTGGGAATCACTTTCGAAACTTTTAAGAAATGCAAGTAAGTTGTTTGCAGCACGAAAGCAATTGAAGAAATCAAAAAAAGCAATAAACGAACGACCAACAGCAATGACCATCAGCAGCCCTTCAAGGGACAGTAATGTGTATCAATTCCGAAGGTAAATTTTAATATGAATGGTCATTAGTCCGTCCTCAAATTTTTGAAAAATAAATCAACAATATTCTATAAATAGATAAGCAAATTCTGAATAATAAATTTTACAAAATATTCTGAATGAATTGATATTAGCGATCAAACTCATTCGCGGAATTAAATTGCATTTGTTAGGTTTCAGCACAAAAAACCACACAACATGCTAAAAGACACATATTACTTTGACGCACACTTATACGTTCCTTTTCATACATTCTATGTTTACTTGATGTTTTACACAGTTATTTACACACTCATTCAACTCATTCATTCTGTTGTATTCTCTCTCCCTCTGACTCTTTCATTACAGACAAAATATGCACAATTGGAATCTGAAGAAAAATAATTAAATTGAGAATAAACAATTTCGATTTTTGTCATATAGAAAACAAAAATTCAAATGCATAACATCAACGAAAAAAACAGCTCCTACAATCACATTCAAACACACATCAAGTGATTTTGTGGACAACATTTTTGTTTGTTTACATTGAAATTGAATATCTTTTGTACGGATCAAAATACGGATTATCGTTGATACAAATACACACATACTTTCATTTTCATGCATTCAAAGTTTTTTTTAGATCTTCCACTCACTCACAATATCGTCAACTTTTCTCTCATGCATTTTCAAAAAATAAATATACAAAATATATTAAAATGAACACTCATTTTTAGCCAGACAAAAAGCATCAACGAAAATTCTGTATCATTTTTCCATTGTTTATACTCAAAGTGATGCTTTACATTAGTATTTTTGGATTTCTTCAATTTTTAAACATTTTAACTAATAAAATATGCTTTATTAATTCCATTTTCTTTAGTTGTGTTATAATGCACACCGTTTTGCAATACATATTTTTTTTGAAGAATGAATGTTCTATATATTTTCTTGGTGTAATTTTCATTATTATATTTATTAAAACAGATTTGATACTCGTATCAATTAATTCATTACATCTTTTTCCATGTGAACGGCTATTATTTCAATTTGGAAAATATAAGTAGAATGTCCTTCAAAATATTTTATGGACTGAGTATAAATTTTGGAAATATATGACACACTACAAAATATAAAAATGAATAAATGCTCTCAATTTAAATTCACTTCAAAAATTCATTCAATTTATCCGAACCATTTCATTAATCTACTTTTATGGCGTAATTGCAAATTATTAATATTAAAAAAGGATTTCTGTGATTATCAATTATATATATATTCTATGAATTAGCCGTCTCATCTCGTCTTATTGCTATTTTTCCAGCATTAAATTATGGATGCAACATAATTTAATCTATATCGTCTTAATGAATTGAACTATATTTGTCTCAATATTTCATTCTTTGCAATTTGCTTATTCAATTCATATGTATGAATTCGGAAATAAAATCAAGTTGCCTTTTGTTATGACATTTTTGTTAAAATGGATTATGAAAGAAGTAAAATAAAGTAACACCTGATTTGTTTTGACTCATATCGTACAGTTTGTTGCCGATTTAGTCATAATATAGCATTGTTAATATTTTCTCCAATCGTACACAATTATTTTTTTCAAATGGAAGCAAACAGCACATATGCAATCGATTGGGATTTGGTGAGAAAAATAATTTATGAGGAAATTGTGAAAATGACTTAGTGTTTTTTTTAAATTCAGGTAAACAATCCAAAAAGCAAAACATTCGAATATTTGATTGGAAATTCGATCGATGCGTTTGGTCGACAATTGCCAAGGGAAATTGATGTTTTACGTCGTTACTACGATTTATCAGCAAAAATATCTGAACCCGATAAAATGTCGTTGATTGTAAAACAAATCGAAGACTGTTACCGTGAAGGTGGAATTCAGACCAGATCAACTGAAGCCATAAGAATCAAAATTAAACGGCTATTGACATCATGCAAAACATTAGTGGCCAAGCGGAAAATTTGTCATAAGTCGGATATTGAAAAAAAACGTCATATTGAATTCAAAAAAAATATTAACACATTATTTGAGGTGGCCGATTGTAACAAACCATTGTCTTTTTCACAAATTGAATTTCTTCATGACCAACGAACGCAACGTACGATGCAAATTGATACAATTGAAACGACAGACAATGAAAATTCAAATTCAATGCACCAAAATGAGCCAAATCAAATGCAACGTGGAAGTGACGACACCGTTTCAACACCAAATGGTTCTAGTGATATGGGATTTTCAGATAATTCAATTTCATCAGATGATATTCAAAACAATTCCGAGCCTGATGATTCTGATCCCGATTCCGATTATGACCCATCGGGAGATGAAAATGAACTGTTACCGCATCGTAAAAAGCGTCTTCCGAATGATCTTCTTAAAGAAATAAGTAAAACAAAAGGCAGCTATCGACTATGTGAAAGTCTCCTAAAAATAGGTGTTCAATTGTCTGGTGATAACCCAAATGATTACACCCTTTCCAAAACCAGCCTGTGGAAGCAAATAACAGATTTGCGATCCAATGAAAAAAATCGTATGCTTGAATCGTTAGCTGCTAGCAATGACAAAGTTATAATTCAATTCGATGGCAAAAATTATAGAAGATTGAATGAACGACATGTCGGAGCTGAAGAGAGAATAATTGTTTTGTGTCACACCGAAGAATCCGACATTCCGTTGGGTTTATTTTCTGTTGAATCACACACCGGCATTGATTGCGCCAATAAAGTATTGGATGCAATAGAGGAACACAATTTGACAGAACGGGTAATTGGATTGGTATGCGATACCGAGGCCGTTAACACTGGCCAATTCGCTGGAGCTTGCACATATATCGAACTGATATTGAATATGGAATTGCTTTACCTAATGTGTAGACATCACGTGTTGGAAATTGTATTAAAAGCAGTTTTTGAAACAATTTTCGGTGCAACGACTGGCCCAAATGTGACCACATTTGATATTTTAAAGGATTATTGGGACCAGATAAAAGCCAGTGGGTTTGTATTTAATTCGATTGATTCTGCAAAAATTCAAAGACAACCAATAAAAAGATTTGTGGACGAAGCTAGAACTGTCATCACCGATCATGCCGAACATCTTCGAAACGATTACAAAGAATTGAATGATTTGTCTTTGAAATTGCTTGGAGTAAAAACTAAAAAAAAATTCAATGTGCCTGGTGCAACAAATAATGCAAGATGGATGTGTCGTGCAATATATGCATTGAAATTATATTTGTTCCGAGGTCAAATTGACATGGATGCTGCATTTGTTGTTTTGCTCGAACGTTTCAGTTTATTTGTTTCCATAATTTACGTCAAATATTGGAACCAATCATGGAATGCAGCTGATGCACCGTTCAATGACATACAATTAATGAAAGATCTTCAATTGTTCGCTGTAATTGATCAAGAAATTTCAGACGCTGCTTTGGTGGCCTTCAAAAGACACTTGTGGTACCTTAGCGATGAGCTAATTCTTTTGGGACTTTTTTCAAATAAAGTGTCAACACAAGAAAAAATTAACATGTGTGCTGCAATTCAACAGCAAGTCAGTGATCGTACGCAAAACTCAATTAAACATACCGACGAAATCGAAAACATACTTGAACTGAATCTAAATTATTTCATATCTGATAGATCGTTTTTTTTATTGCAACAACTGAACATTGATACCACATTCATATTGGAAGATCCAGCTCAATGGCATGAATTTGAATCTTATCGCGTTGCACAAAAAAAAGTTCACGATTTAATTGTTGTGGTAAATGATAGCGCAGAACGAGCAATTCAATTGGGAATTCAGCTCATTGATGGACAAAGAGTTCAAACCGAGCCAAGATTGCAAGATTTTATCGTGAGCGCATATGCAAAGTAATATAAATCCCATATATTTCCATTTCAATTATTTCCACCGTTTTTTTATTCACCATCTCAAATGACACTGAAAACAGTGCAAACGAGTAAACATGGAGAAAGTTTCACATAATCATTGCCAAAGATGTTACAACGATTCAATATTTTTTAAAACTATTGATAAAAATTAAATTTTGCCTGTATTCGTAGTCGTTGTTATTTAAAATTAAAAATTTACAGAAAAAGTCAAGCGGCATTTCAATCATTGTTTACATTTTATACTGAATGGAATACTGTGTAGAATTTGACAGGAAGCGGTACAGTGTGTACGTTTCGAAAACAAATACATGCATATATTCTATGCTGAATAAATATTTTGCACACAAACATACAAAATCACAAACGTCACACGTCCTGTGTGTATGATACTTTTTTTTGTTGAGAATCTGAACGTTAAAAAGTTTCGTATGTAAGAAAGTCTGTGAGAATGAAAATAAAAATAAGCATATGAATGTTGTGTCACTGATATTCATTATAAAAATGTATTACAAAAAATATTCAGTCTCATTTATTTAGTAGATTATGTGTATTCAATTTTGTAACATCAAAGCAAACATTCTAATTCATACAAGTATGCTTGTATGCTGCGTAAAAGCCATATATGTGTGTCGAACATTTTGTCCGGTTTTGTGTGCAAACCTTTCAAATGTGTATTCAATTTTTTCGCGAGTTTGATCGCGAATATATAATTTTGTGAAATTTTTTGTATAAATTATTATACAAAATCTATTAAACTATGGATATATTATTGTTGAATTTGGTTGGAATTATTTTTCAACGCAATAGTACGGCCTAATGGACATGTGTCCATGGCTATTTATGACAAAAGTATTATGACAAAAGTGTTATGACAAAAACCACTAACCCCCTGAATGTATTATCACTTATCAGTAAATAACTTAAAAAATGAATATCTCCTTTCAATTTATTCCGATTCTTCTGATTAATTCTTGAACTTTATTGATAAACTCCTCTTTGGCTTTTATAGGAGGTGTGCCTCGTTTCCGATCCCATGCTATATTTCTGGGTTCAGTAGGTTTGTGTTGGTAACAGTCACCAAGGGTGGCTTGCTGATACAATGCGTACATATCCTTAAGATCAGCAGCGTCGGGTTCTCGCTTCAATCTGCCAGCATCATCTACAGCTTTATTGAAGGTTGTTTCAACGATCCATTCAATTAACATTCAAAAATATATCAGATTTGGGGCCTACTAAGCTTATCATGTTTGCTTGCAATTTACCTTTTTATAAACTTGATCTTGTGTCAATATTATTGGTGATTGTGGTGGTGTCTGCCGTGGAGATGATATTCCCGATACTTGCCTTCTTAGGCCCGCCACATGCGACGTTTGGCCCAAAGGCGAGTTCACGCGTTGTCATAGACAAGTAATGAATGGCCAACTGAAACAGTATGGGATAAGTAGACGCCGTTTAAAATTCAACACCATTTTAGACGCAGATGTGTGGAAACAGCGGTGGATAGCACTTGAATGACTTCTCAGTTCTCATGAAATTTCAGTAAAAGAAATGATTTCAAATCATTTGAATGTCAATTTTGTCTCTTCAAAAGTTGATCCACTTCGAGTTGCGAGTTGAAAACATACATTCACATCAGTCAGTTATCATCGTTATGCGTAAAACTAGCTAGAATGCATCCAAATAGCAAGAAAGTTGTTTCTAAGTACACAATAAATCGAATTCAGTCATGAGAATAGGTAAGGAAGTGCAGACACGAATCTCTTCAAAGTCACCACTTCATTGTTCTCGATTTTTTACGAAAATATTGTTACTGCTCGAAAAACCACTTTGGCTTCTTGTTTTATAGATTATTTTTATGGTTACAGTGGTGAGTGTGAAAAAGTAATAAAACTACAAAGTCTGGTTTCATAAATTTATTTAAACGCACACATTGTACACATTAAAAATCCTTGTATATTCGAATATAGATACAGTAAAATATTAAATTCGAAACATTTAATTTCACAAAATAGACACAAAATTCGATATCTTATTAAATGTATTGTTCCTTGAGTGGATATGTCGAGGTGGTCCGAAGGAAGATTTCGCTTGCCACTATCTATGGAGCATAAAAAGCATCCGGAGTAATCATATTTCTTTCCGCAATTTGTTTGTACAAAGAAAATTGGACGACACTAGAGTAACATAGTACGGCTGAAAATGTTATTAAATGGGAGTCAGTAAAGTGTTATTGATTTTTCTAAAAAGACATTATTACCTCCCACGCAAGCAGCGCATTGTAAAAAAATCCAGGCAGATTTGTCAGAACGTTCTGAAATTGCCATCCATGCAATAAATGTTAGGGATCCAAACAAAAGAAGGGAGAATATCGTCATTATTACGTGAGGTAGCATAAGAAACGGCCTTTCCTAAAAAAAAAACATAAATTAGAAATGATTTGTTTCAGAATGTTGGCAATAATTTTGGAATTTGAATCCATTTCATACATTCACAGAGTGAAATGACACCGTTTATTGTCAATTCGGACAATTTTTATGTCTCACATTCCATTTCATTCAGCTTTCATTTGATACATTCGATACATTATATTGTGCGGAAAAGTAAAACACAGGCCTTTGCTTTAAAGACATTTAAATACGGAATAGCGTTCAAAAATGGAATTTGAGACCCACACGGGATGAAATGGAACTGATTCCACATTATATTAACTGCAAATCGTGAACTTTTAAAATAATTCACAAAAAGACAAAAAAAACTAAACTTCGGGTAGATCATCGTCTGGTGTTGAATCAAATTTGAATTTCGATTTACTCACTTTGAAAATACCATAAAACCACAACGAAATTGAGAATATGTGGATGAAACAAAAAGCACCCTCCAACATTATCTCTCTCTGAAAAATACTAGCAAAAACATTTGATTAATATCAAATGCATTTAATTGGTGTTGTGAGTAATCAATCCATTTAAAAGCCTCAATCAATTGGAGTATATCAGTAGATGACCTGTACTTACTCTTTGTGGTCGTGTCTGAGTGTGGAATTTAAATGATAATATGAAAAAATGTACGAAAAGATGCAACGCATACGCGTCATCCAATTTTAATGCCTTCCGTTCCGTCGTTAGTAATAAAATCAACAGGTTTGCTTTCGTCCGTTTTTTAAATCAATATTTTTCTTGGAAAGAAGTAAAAAATGTTCCGAATATTTTTTATGATTTATTAGCATACTCTTCAACGAATGTATAATCCTCAACATTTCTATGTGCACTCTTCTATGGACACTTTCGATCTTTAATCTGTTTATATGAACTAGTTGTTTTAGATAGATGGCAACATTTTCAGGCTGGAATGAAAATTTCAGCAAGCTCTTTTTGAATACAATGAATATTAAATAGCAATTTCCTATTGTAGCAGAAAAGTCCATTCTCTGTATATGAAAAATGTTTAAAAGCATTAACATACCGAGTTTTTATAGATTCCGAACATTCATAAATTACTCACCATTATTCTAATTGATTCTCCATCTGACATATGAAATCTACATTGAACTGACATTAATTGAAAAACCAATCATTTTCAAAGCACCTCATTCCTTTTTATTTCTTCCAATAACATTTTACGGTATTTGCTTTTTAGTTTTAATCTCATTGTTTGTTTGCGAATTCATGGATTTATTATTAAACTCTTCTCTTCATTTACAATTTCTCCATCGCTTTCTTGGGTTCTATCGCCAATGCTACTCTTCATCAGCTTGTATACAAGGTAGTGTATCCCAAATAAAATGGCGAAACCGACTGCAAATATTTTTTTTAAAGAGAAAGAAATTTCATTAGAAAGTAGAGCTCAATTCCTTCTTACGGTAAGGTCAATTTATGTTCTTCTAAGTTTTACACTAATGTATGTGTTGCTAACCTGCTGTAAGAATGGATTCTGTCCTTTTTTGTGTAACATTCTCGTCACTTTTATTTACACCGAATGCGATTGGTGTGAAGGAATAGAAAAAGTTTGCAATCGTCCAAAGTAACGCGAATATCCAGAAGACGAGCGTAACTAACATAAAATTTGGCTTTCTCTATTGAATTAATTTGATTGAAAACGAATAAATTAAATGAAAAAACTTTTCTTCAGTTCCACTTTTCTGTACACACTACTAGCTGTAAAAAACTCAACAATTCTCTATCAAAAAGGCTATAAAAATCAATTTTTAATACATCACATCTAAACTGATACGGTAGCAATACAAAATTTTCGTCTCTTTGGTAAATAAATCTTAATGCATAAATCAAGAAATCTTTCTGAATTGACTCTATTCTATCGGAGTGTATACGGTGGTATGGCTGCCATACTATACTCGCGTACTTCGCGTTATCTTACCGTTTCAATTCCATAAATCCAGCATGCGTAAACACTCAGTCCAACCACTGTAAAAAAAGAGATTTCTATGAGGAATGCTTGCCATTGAATACATCGAATCAACTCACACTTCCATTTTGTCAATCGTTCCACCGGACTGTCTTTCGTGTACATAAATCCATCGTCATTATCACTAATTTTATTGTGGCATATGATGTATATGACAGCCAATCCGCCGATCAATATACCCGCCGCCCGCAAGCAAAAATAAGCAAATCCCTCTAATTTCATATTTCCTTCAGAAAGTTACCACTTTTTTATATTTTCAATAGTATTAGAACCTTTAAATAAAATCTTCCTTCAAAAATTTAAATTTTCCTTCATTAGAACCACGGGAAAATCGTAATATCGAAGTATTTGATTATTTACAAAAAAAAAATGAAAGAAAAATGTTCCGCTTGCACTACATTTTATCGAGTATATTGGTTTTTATGCCTTCAAGTCGCCGATATTCATGCAACTGATGGCTGTTCAACGATTTTGAAACTAAATTTGTGTGCATTTGTTTATCTTGTTCAGAATGCGCATGTTCATATTGAATTTCCATCCAATTGCTGAAAATATTGAAGTTCTCCTTTTCCAACATTTTGTAATCATTGTAACGGCTCGAACTATTTCACACAAAAAAACTTGCATCCAATACAAAATGTATTCTTTGACTATATTTCAATGCGTTTCACATTTTGGAAGGCATATATGTTAGAAAAAAGAATGCTAAAAGAATTTAGAAAAAGTAGCATGAAATTAGTAGAAAAGATCAAAGAAGTTGAACATCGGTCCGTTAACAATTTTCCGTTTGAAGTTTCAGGGGAATTTTGAACGTTCAGTGTGTGTTCCATTCTCCGACACGGATGCTCTGCGATGTAATGGATATATCGATTCAAGTGTATCACTGCTACAGACACCACGATGGCGCCAGACAGTATTGATTTCGTGACACATCTTGTTGTGATCTTTTGACTTTATTCGAAAAATAAACAAAATTATGTAAAACAACATCGGAAAGTTTGTTCGGCATATTTTATTTATTTTGCGGCAGTTTTCTTTGTATCCATTTTTTTATCAAAACGAAGTAATTGTTGTCACATTACGACGGATTGTATATTGCTTGAGTAGGAAAGAACAATATCTGTTTAAATAACCGTTAAAAATATGTTAAATTATTGTTATTATTCAATTTTATTGTCCTTAAATCGCGATGGATGTAAATTCAAACACAGCATGGAAAAATATTGCACTTGGTCCCATCGTTAACGCCCACATTCTTTCCTTTATTCAACAAAGATTTTTCCTCATTCTTGCGCTCTTGCTTTTCAATGGATTTTTTGATGAACTTGTAAATGAAGTAATGAACCAGGAATATAATCAGGCAAAATACTGAAAACAAAGTACATTATTTAAAAAAAATTCAAAATGAATCATTTTAGATTTGTTTACCAGATGCCAAACTAAATGCAGCCAACGAATCATAAAGTTGGGCGGAGGTATCTCTGTAGTGTATCCATAAGTAACACATTTGAATTAGTGCGTATAGAAGTTCAAGGATGAAAAATGCCAAAGCAACGACCAATATGTATAGCACGCAGAGCATAAACACGGGATTCTCCTATGTAGACGGAATTGAAAATTGAAAATCATTTCTTCGGCTAGAAAATGTTATAAACTATAACGAAAATCAAACCAAGATTATCCCAATGATCCAGGAACCGTATATGACCAAGATAAAAACTGCAAATTACAAATCAGGTGTGCAGAGGATATCAACAGTTATTGTAGAATAAGTTTCGAAAAAGAAGATGTTACTTACGTTCTCGCTTTATTAATCGTGTCTGTGAGTTAACGCCATGACTTTTTGTATCGTACATAAAATACACAATAGCCGCTATACCGATTAATATGCCCAGTAGCCGTAAACAATGATAGGAAACACGCTCGAATGTTGCTAATTTCAGTGAAAGTCTCCGTGGGAACTTCATCGCTTTAAGTTAATTTCAGTTTGTATCAAATTTACTGTTTTTTTCTTCAAAAACTTGGAGAAAATCGTTTTAAAAAATCACAGTTCAAAGAAAACCTTTAAAAAAGACAATTTTCGGCGAAAAAAACCAAATATAAAGAAACTTGGAGAATTTTGGTTTCACTTTTGATTCGTTACGACATCGTCATGTTACTAGATTCGTTAAGATTCGTGATAAACATGAAAAGATGCTCTACGATGTGATTTTTGGGTCATTATTTCTATTATTTTATAGCCAGTTGCTGAATAAGTAAAGGGGAAGTATTAAAAGTTGGTGTTTTTTTCGTAAAAAGTCCATAAAAAGCACGACAAACTTGTGAAGGCAAAAAATGGAAACTGAATGCCTTCCCAAAGAGGAGAAAAGAAAGAAAATCAAGAGAAAAACACATATATGGAAGAGTATACAAAACAAAAACTGTGATTACACACGTGCTGACCATCTACATGTGGCCGTCTGGTTGCGATGGACAATGCGCATGCTCCTTCCATTGAACATATGTAAGTTTTTCCCATTTATGTGAGTATATTTGGCATCAAAACAAATCACATGAACAGGAATATGCCAACAATTTTTGGCTCATGTGTATTGTCTCTCGTTATTTATTACAATTGCATTTTGCAAAAGGCCAAAAAAACAAAAGATTTTTATTTTTTCAAAATTTAGAATGGTTGTTTTAACAATTTTTTGGGACTCGACGTCACTTTTCGATTATTTTTTCCAAGATACAGAGTAGGGTGGTCCCGAATATACACAAATTCGAATTTTAATCGCAGCACACTCTATATATGTTAAACTTGGTCCCACAAACATATGTGCAAAGTTTCAGCACTCTACTGTACCGGCAACACGTGCCTCAAACGCCTTGAAGATTTTCTGTCGACACAGATCGTCACACATTTCAAACAAATTTTTTTCGACAAAACTATATGATAAAAATGTGTATTGTGGTGTTTTTTGGCACGAGAAAACCGAATCTGGCATTAGTTTTGCGATACAAATAAGCTTTAACACACTTTTCATACAAAAATCTGAAAAAATCACTAAAAATGTGGATTTTGTATGGGACCTATACCTGTATGATATCGTAATGAGCTTAAACTTTGCACAGGCTATTTTTTTCACAAAAAAATAACATTCTGAAAGATTCACGGAATTTCAATGCAAATTTGGGGTACCTTCCATACAAAAATTTCATTTTTGAGCCAAAAATCAAAATTTTTGTATGGGAAGTACTCCAATTTTTAATTGAAATTTCTTCAAACTTACTGAGATCATGTATTTTGGTAAGAAAATGAGATTCACACATTTTCGTTGCTACTATTGCAAAACTTATTTAATTTATATAGGAGAAATTTGCGAAGTTTACAAGCTTCATTGTTTTCAAGGGCGTGAAAGAGATGGCGCTCGCAGAAAGTGATTCGCTTGAAAGTCTACTGTAAGAGAGGGTCGCTTTGGTCGATAGAGTGACTTGGCATGTCTGGTGTGATTCCCATGGCCATCTATAGGAAAAATTCAATTTTTCTTCCAAAAGTGATATTTAATGTATTCTTAAACACTCAAAAATGTGTATTGGGTACGAGAAAACCGAATATGACGTTAGTTTTGCGATACAATTCATTTTCGACACACTTTTCATACAAAAATTTCAAAAAATTGGATTGCCTGTATGATATCGTAATGAGCTGAAACTTTGCACAGATTATTTTTTTCACACGAAAATACCATTCCGAGAGTTTGAAGACATTTCAACGAATATTAGGGGTACCTCCCGAACAAAATTTTGGATTTTTCGCTCAAAAACGGAATTTTGTATGGGAAGTACCCCTCAATTGTATTGAAATTTCTTCAAACGTTCAGAATGTTAACTTTTTGTGAAAAATTAACCTCTGCAAATTTTCACATGATTACGATATCATATGGGCATGGCTCCGATACAAAAATTCCCATATTTAGTAGTTTTTGTATGAAAAGTGCTTCGAAAATTATTTTTCTCGTAAAACTAATGTCAGATTCAGTTTTCTCGTGAATTCTTTGAGTAAAAGATTTGTAATAAATGCATGTCATGGATCACAGTGCGGAAAAGTTCATCTTACGGATGTAAGACATTTTATTCAAAAAGCAAATGTCGAATTGGTATGAAAATGAAAAAAAAAATTATTTTTTTTGTTTTCAAGCGAGTATAAACTCGATATTTATGTAACTCATAAAATGTGAGAAAGTTTGCTGCTTTGAATACAACTTTGATGCTGTAGCCGATCATCTTTTCGCAAGATTTCATCAAAAAAATTTGTTTAAGAAGAATTGCCAATTCGTAACACTCCACAACATTGTCTTCGTTGAGAATTCGCTTCAAAAACTTCTCACAAACCATCAAACATTCAGCGACATCGTACATATGGCCCAATTTCATGACCTTGGCCACATTTTCGGT